CGATCGATCGAGAATTACTTATGATATAACTTGGCAGAACAAGAAAACCGATAGGGAAAAGAAAGAAATATGCGTAAATAAATCCAGGGGAAAAAATTTCTAAATACGTGAATAAATAATAGGCGTTGACCTATCCATTCTATTATTCATAATAAGCCATTTCATCCACTTCAGTGACATTCGATGAAATCGGCTTCGATTATTTATTTGTTTATTAACAACTTAAATTACTTATCAGCTTGCTTCGCTTGTTTATTTGCGACCGTAAATTAAGATAATCAAAAAAATTCATCGAAATTACGATAATAGATATAACTACAATATTAAGGTCAACGAAATTCGGGACTCCTCGCGCGTACTGGCTAAAATATATTAAATAGTTCATTCGGTATTATTATAGTCATTATTTCTAGAACTACTATATATTTTATTGTGGCGTATACATGGAAAGAGATCGGTTGCAGGATCGTTTAAATTGCCTGGCTACCTCACGAGGGAAATACATAGGTGATAGAAGTAAATAGAAAATACATACACACATTACGGCTCATGCGATGCGAGAGAACTGTCGGGAAGTTTTAACGAAGATCGTTCTCGATGACAGCCGTTCTCTCGCTTGTCTGCTCTCTACTCATCTATCCTGCCCGAATTAGAAGTACAGAATTCCAGCAAGGCTGTTCTGTGTGTACAGACTATAGAGTATCTCAAAATCATCAGATCGTGTTTCGGCTATAGCTTCTTCGATCCACAAACAACTTTTAGTGAAAATACCGAGGGAAGTTGCTTATCGCATCTCTCCTTCCAACTTTTAATGTTATATAACTTCGTAACTGAAGTCCGAACTGAAATTTTAAGTGAATTTCGTTATTTTAAAGGAAAGTTCGCTTTAAATTAAATAAAAAAAGATACAATCTTGCTAATCACCATCTTTCTTGAAGATGATCACTAAAAGCAGCAATAAATACTCATTTATTGACTTCGATTTTTTCATTAAGTAGAATTATATCAAGGAATAATAAAGCAAATATGATAAAATAAAATAAATATCCGTAATAAAACAAATATCAAATGACATAAAATTATGTTCAATTTCTTCGCAATTTAAATTTGTATCATATTTATCTATTATCTAATCTTCTTTTGTATTTAGTTCTATTCATAATCTTATATACTTATTTCAAACATAATTACAATAAGAATCTAAAAGTTTCACAGATGATTTTAGGCATATCTATTTGTGTTTCGCTTTTCCATTTAACTTCTCATCGTTATACCGCGATCACTTGAGAGCTGTTAATGATTTCAATGGACGGAATCGACGTGTTGCGAGAAGCCGTGCAATGTCGCAAGAACTTTGTGCGCTTATTGTCCTATTGTTTTGAGTTCGTGTCAGAATTTGTTTATGAATCGCACTACCTCTGCGATCAACGGTTTTCCATTTAATCGACGCGTATCGTAATTTTCGAACACGCTGCGGACTATTCAATAGAATTCTATCATTACCAATTTTTCTTTTATTTTCACATGTGCTTTCGTTACTCCACTCGTGATGTCGATCAAGAAGTACAGTTGTATACTCATAGCAGCGGAAAGATAATAGACAGTATTTATGCGTAACTATTAATTGAGCTAAGGTGTGATTATCGGATCTCAATAAGGTAATTATTTAGAATAGGGGAATCAGCTCTGATGACCTTGACATATAATGTTGCCAAGGTCATGACCCCGAGTAACCTCCAATAGATTTTACCTCGTTATTAATTAAAAAGTTATTAATATATAAAGTTAACAGTATAAATTGTACTGAAATAACATTCATTCAATATTTAATCCTGCTTCAATAACAAAAATTTTCTTTGAAATATTATTTTCTTATATAATTTTTATTTTTAAAATAATAATAACTAGAACAGTTAAGTTTATAAGTGGGCTCTATAAGACTAATGGCATGATTACATAAGAAGTGTTTTTCTGTTCGCTCTTCACGATATAAAAACAGAAATATAGCGCACAATTTAAATTTATAAAAAAATATGTTTAAGAAACGTTTGTCGTTCATGCGACATCTTTCTGTAAATCTGACGTAAGAATGCATTTAATTAATCAAGCTTCACATGTTCGCAAATGATATGCACGAATTTTTGTAAAGGAATTTTTTATGATTCATTGGTTGATAGTATTAGTTGGTGACTGTTCAAAATCATTGTGTTCAACCATTTTATGAGATTATACACATATTTACTGATTCTGTATCAATCAATATCATTGAAAATCGCCGTATAAGTTATATAAGAATAAAATTAATTTATTCACACACACAAAACAAACAAAAAGAAATAAGTTAAAAATAAGAGAAAAGAGCCAAATAACTTTTTAAAAAATTATAATTATAATGAAATCAAATCATAATACATTAAAATAAACTTCGCAAAATTCGCAAACATCGTAAAATTAGTAGGTAAAATTCACAAACGTTTCGACACCGATCGGGTCATTTTCAATGTTAAATTTAAAATTAAGTGTGTATAATATAATTAACGAATCAACAATAAATTACATGTGTACAATTATAATAAAATTAACGAGTCAAAAATATAAAATTAAAAGTGTAAATTGAATAATTAATTAACGAGTCGTAAATATAAAATTAAATATGTATAATTAAATATGGAAACAAAAAGAAATTCCAAACTGAGTACAATAATCAAGTAAATAAATTCTGAAATAAATAAATGTACAGTAGTCCTAAATTAGTCTCTTAATCTTTTTGAGATTATCCAACAAGTTCTATACATACAGCACTGTGTGTGTGTTACATTGAACGAAACTTTTTCTAAAACTATCTGGAACTCTTCCTTTTGTTCTAAATAATCCAGAACTCCTAACAGAAGTACAATTTCGAAGCGTAGGGATGTTAACTTCACTCACTCCAGTGCTGCTAAATCCTAAATATGTATATAAACCATACCTAATTATATATTATATCATATATTATATTAATTATTATAATAACCACTATTCTAACAGTGCCATGTTTTTTTATGATAAATACCTTTTTATTTTGATATATTTTTTTATATCTTTTACTTTATGTTATTTAATTTTTTTTATTGTGTCTTTTGATCCAATAAAATATATCCGATTATGTTTTCAAGAATTTTTTATGAGAATATCTCTCTGTCCCAGAATATTACATATTTTTCTAAGGACTTACTTGTTTTCATCCCAATCATGTTAGAGAACCGCCTTATTGGATTTAATATTTTTTAATATCAAAACAAATAATGAAAGAATTATACAGTAAATGTAGTTATAGTGGAATATACATATATACAATATGGTATACATAGTGAAATTTTATTTTCATTGACGCAGCTTTATAATTTTTAACGATCGAACGGAAAAATGTTTACACCAATTGTTCGTAGATGTATTACGTCTATAGATTAAAAAATCCTTTTATGGAATTAAAGTATAAACAATAACACAGTTAAGGTTAAATGATTTTATATGAAAACCGAATAAAAATTTAGAAATTACAATTTCGTTATCGACTTTGGCGATGATTCGTAACTACATTTGCTTCACAGAAAAAAGTTTTATATACTTTGTACGTATAAAACAAGCTTAGTTCGGGAGAGGGATTACACGAAAGAACAATACTGTGCTTTTAGAAATGAGCTTAGACGCTTTAGTATAAAAGAAAAGATTGCGTGAAAATTTCGTGTTATGTGTGAACGTGTAATATTAATGTATGTAGTGTGTTTGTATATGTATGTACATGTACAACAATATATTATGTTATATTTGCAGTTAATGTATGACTTGACACCTTTTTTATCTTTTTCGAAAAAAATAATTTTTTTGTATAATTTATTATTATACTGTGTACTTTTGTATAATTTATTATTATACTGTGTACTTTCATTTTGACCTACCAATATTATAAAATTAAGTGATTGAACCAATAATAGTGTATCGGATTTCTTCCGTAGTTTTCTATTTTTTATGATTTTAAAAAAAGAAAAGAAACAAGAAATATGTGAAGTACCTGGGCGCGGCGCGGCGGCGATCTACGATAAAGGTTAACATTGTCCCACATTGCCGTTAATAAATAAACGTCGAAGAATCAATAGTCGTTTGTGCGCGATTCACGGTAGAACGTATACTGTTTATTGTTTGAAAAAAGATCTATATTTGTTTTATATTATCAAATACTCATCAGAATGGTTTTTCACGTGCTTAAAAATTAAATTCTGCGTTTATAAGAAAATAAATAAAAATTATTGAAAATAATCAAATATCAAAAAATAAATTCTTTAAGATGAGAAGAAAGTTAGTGCAAATATTTATGAACAAAAAACGAGTACAAGAAATGAGGAAATTTTAATTGTACTTATTAATTATAATTAATGTTTTTTTTGTGGAAATTTGATGGATTTAATTAAATTTCGTAACGATTTATTAATGCTTTGGATAAAAATAATTACACTTGACGTGAAAGATATTACGAACTCGGTATTTTCTCGAACAGATTAGGGAAGCCTTAACCATCGATCCGTTTATCTACCGAAACCTTGCAATATATTTTAATTGATACAGTGAATGACGGCCATGCTAAAAATATATATGTTATCTCCGAACTAGTGATATAATTGAAGAAAAAATCAATTTCTTATGAAAAATTTTTATCAATTCAGCAATTATTAAATTAAATTATTCTATAATAATATTGCTTCTTAATTGAAATTCTAAAGCTTTCTATAATAGCTTCGGTTCATTTCTGTGAACATTTTGTGAATATATCGTTACATCAAACATTAAAAACCAAAGATTAATATTATAAATGTAATATTTTTGAACTTACAATTAAATGTGTAATATTATAAAATTAATGTATAACATTTTAATATTATTCAATGTACCTACATACATTTGCATACAATTATAGAGTATTTTTATCGTGACTTTTAAGAGCGAATTGTGTGTTAATGTTACAGCAGCTTCATTCGGAATACAGGAGCACGTACACATGGCACGAGTACACAGGACCGCATCAGGAGCACACAGTTGTGCGACGCGCACCGCAGCCGCCACCGTCGAGTAAGTGCGATAATTAAGCAGAATAGTATTTTTACTTTCATTATGTTTAGCGAACATTAAATCGTAAACAGAATAAAATAGCTTATTCGCCGGCAGAAAGCATAGGAAATAAGTTTTACTAATACGCGTGCTATGATGTGACGTGATACTTCACACGCAATATAAGCGGTAAATTTTCTCGTATGTGAAGTTTTAAAATTTATTACAAGTGATTATGTTTAAAGGATAATTTTCCAAAAGAAAAGATACATTGATGAATGAATTGATAAATATATGATGTATATTTTTTTTTTAAATTAAAAAAGGTATTTATATACAAGGATCGGAGAGTCTATACTACTGTTTAGGCTTAATATGATTAGAGAATGTTCACGTCACTCGAGCGTAAATTGATTTATCTCGCATTTATTATTAACTTTATTCTACACAGACATACATGAGTTATTTTTAATTTTAATGAAAATACTTCAGTCATTATTTAATTGGAAAAAAAGAAATATTCATACCGATATACGCTCTCGAGAGTGATATACTCGCGGAGAGGACTTTTTACGTTTTTTCTCCGTATCTTAAGAGTGTCTCTAATGATTTTATTTATTCGTGTTACTATTGTTGACGCACTTGCTCTCCACATCCCATTCACTTCATACACATTGTCGCGATTTTATTACGATATATACAATGTGTTATTTTTTATGCAACACTTATATATACACGCATATACATATATATAGAACGCCCTATATAATTTGCGATTTTAATGGCAGACTTTCTGATGAATTTGGAGTTGTTTTTTTTTAGAAAAAATATTGAGGTATCGAGATGCCTTAAAATTATTCAGTTATAAGATTCGTCGCGAATTAATCGTAAAAAATCTCAAGAGAGTGTAGAACTATAATTTTCGGTTAATTTCGAATAAATAAGCTTTACGTTAATAAAATTCCAATTTAAAATTTAGTTTTTATAAAAACGACGATTGAAAAATCGAAAAATGTGTTACATTAAATAGATAGATATCTTTTAAAAATTATCGTTATGAAAAAATCGATTTCAAAGTCAAGAATCTGCTGTTTAAATTAAAATTGCGAATCGCGAGATAATCCTATTTATATTTCGATATTGTGTATGTCATGATATATTTTTAGAGCAGCGCATTACGATACATATTGTCATATACCTGTTCTCTCGATGTTATTCTCACTTTGTCCTATTACTGATGTCTCTGTGTGAACGCTTATAAGTCAAAGTAGATATGCATTTTTACCTGCCGGTAACGTAAATTCGTTCCCGGCTCATTTTTCGCGAACAGACGTCAGCTGTCGATCGAATCGGTGGATCCCCCTCGTTTCCACTCGATCGAGTATCTCGGTAACGCGTGATTAAACGCGAAAATGCGGTTCTTGGCCTTGTTCAAAATTGCATTTGCAGATAGCTACGTTATTCGCATAAAAATTTCCGTTCTAAAATATTATTTTCTATATTTCTGAAATATAATGATAGACGTAAGATGCAAGACGTAACAGCCTGTATTTAGTAATTATTTACAACTGATACATTTAATGATATATTTACAATATTTAGTCATTTGATTTTGCCATAAATATTTAAAGCAAACGAATATGAATTTAACGAATGTAACGAATTTCCTCTAATTCTTGTTTGGAATTCATATAATTCAAGGAATCTGAAGAATCTGTGAGAATACAAAGCGCTTTTCAACGACAACGGTTGATACAGAGATCTAAATTTGCTTCATTTTAAACAGACTGCTAATTCAACTCGAGATCTCTATGTTTACATTTACATTGAATCGGAAAGACAAACGTTACTTGTAGCTTTTTTGTTTACCTCAGTTCACCTCATTATTTTCATTACATATAGCAATTTGCAATTTTTAAATTGTTAATAACATACATACAAAGAAAATACATAGTTTATAAAATATAAAATATGTAGAAAGTAGATTAAAAAAGACGGATAATTGAATTTCTGACAAAAGAGTGATGATAACTGCTAATATTATCATGTTAAAATCAATTTCCACCTCGATTTCCACCGATCGTCGATTTTTCAGCTAGTCGTCGTTCGAATTTAATCGTTCACGATCTCGCGCGATCTTTCGTGACCTCATTTCACGTAAGGCAATTTGGCCGCAATAAATTCCGCACCGTTGACTTTCTCATCTCGTCACGGCGCTCATTCCCCGGTCTCTTTTGAAAAATGAAATAGACCGATATGCATTGTGGACGATTGAACTCCGTTCTACCTATCCGTGTGATCTTTATTCGCAAGCGATCTTTCGTTTCTTCTTTTTTTACGCGAATTAATATTAGATAATTCATCCGTAGTATCGCCAGTGGCATCATGATTATTTGGTTTTTATATTATCAAACAAAAATGAAAAATTTAGGATCAAATTTAATTACATCGTATACGATGATAAAACAATAGTACATGTGCGAATCTTAGTTGTACAATTTCTCTGTGAGTCACATATTATATTTAGATATTCATTATGATATGCCACCACCACATATATTCATGATACCACTGGAGATTTGAGAAAGTATCATACATGTTGACTTTTGAAGAAATTTCAACGGAAATAATGGTCTAGCCCTCTTTTTGTTCATAAAAAAAAGTATGAATTGTCGCTTTTACTTCAATTCGTTATCGATATCTCGCGATATAGTCAAAAGTAGAATTTGACAGTCGGGGGAAAAAATAATCTCGATGATTTTCAATAGTTGCACACACATGGATAAGCACGCAATAGTTTGGGATTTTTTCTATACCGGCTTTGAGATAAAAAGGGGAATGCGATCGATTATGACGGAAAGTCAATTGATCAAGCAAAAAAATGAGTATTGAAGAGAAAGAGGAGGGGGGCGGGGAAGAAAAGTAAGAGAAAAACAAAAGAGAGAACGCGGTGCCAGCTGCGAATTTTGATTGCAGCGAAGCAACCAAGCGCGAAGCTACAATCGGCCAAGTCAACAGAGGATGAGAACAGCGAAGGTAAGACTCGGAGCTACGCAAATGCCCAGGTTTTATTTCGATTTGTTTTCGCTCACTCTCCGGAGAAACTCCCCCTTCCCCTCTCCTTGCCCAGATGCTATTGTATCTGCCCATTAATTTGCTGGCTAACAAAGAAGCTTGTAGCTAAATGTCAATTTCATTAAACATAATATTTATCTCAAAGTGTAACTTATTAAAATTTATGTTTTGTACATACACACAAAGTTTCTGGTAATAAATGTAACATTTTCTGTAAACAGCGTTTAAATTGCTATATATAGGAAATGTTCTGTATCGTTTTACTGTTCCAATTTTTACAATAATTAATGAGAAATTAATTAATCGAAATATACGGATGAGTGTATATTCGCGCAATTCAGCGACGAATACAACCGTGCAGCTATGTGAAATTGACCTCCTCCTCCTACTGGAAATCTAGTTACAACCATTATATATATATATATCATTATTTAGATTATTAGTTCATTCTCGATGATCGTACAAAACTGTATTTATTAATAACAAAAAAAGATGTTCGTGTGAAGGTAGCTCGCTTTTTTTTTTTTTTTTAATTTGAGTTTTCAAATTATATACATATATTATCATAACTATTAGTACTTTTTTGATACTCGATTATTATGCACATTTTGTAAACATTTAATAGTTAAAAATATTAAACATTTACCATAATAGTTAAAAATATAATTGTCGAAGAAGAAAATAAGACATATATAATTAACCATTGGTCTCAATAGAAATATTCTTACGTTACACAATTGCGTATTTACTTATAAATATTTATTTAACAGTCTATAATATTTATTGATAGTTAATTTCCAACGATAATTAATTCTTAAATTATAAATATGGGTCAAATTGACTTGGTCCGTTTCGAAATTTAATAAGCACATACATACACACATACGCTACTGATACATGTATTATACATGATAGTCATGCGCTTACATTTACTGTTGTCGCTCGAATGCATGCAGATCTTTATTAGCTCATTCCTTAATTGTTACGAAAATCACGAAACGGTACAGGACTTTTCCATTTAGCTTAATTGGCTGTACCTTCTTATAAAAATGGTACATTTATTACCAGAAACTTTGTATATGTATAATTAATAAAAATGTGTATTTATAATACTTTGCATAATTATTTATGTGTAATATTTACATATTTTCTATATATTTTAAATGGAATATGACATGTAATCGCAAACGTATAATTATTTATAGATTTCCTATTTCTGGAGAGATATTGAACATTCAGGAGAGTTAATTAGAAGCATCAAGTTTCTGTGGAAGTTCTCTCGGTTTGTTCATAATCTCTTTAGATATCACAGTTTAGATATTTGAACGCTTCTGGAATAAAACATTCAAATATTTGAGGACTCAAAAAAATATTAAGCTTCTTTCAATCCTGTAAAAAAGTTTTAACGAGTTTATGCAAAAACCGATGGGACTTTTCGAACGATTTACTGTTGATAGATAGGTAGATTATTGATAAACCAGACGCCGCAAAAAATTACATTTTTTTTTAGCGATTTTATTCTTTTTCTTTTTCATGGCTCGAACTCTTCCAATGCGATGCTTTTCTAATATCGCACTTTGATCTTTACCTACATAATATAATAGTTATTATATGATTCAATTTGTGAATAATCATTAATGACTACGATCGATTGGTCAAACTTTCCATATCGCCTGATAGAACCGGGAACGAAGAGCTTAATTATTTGCATGAATTTGTTTTATAAATTTAATTTTAATTTATTTGCGATATATGAAAATGTATATTTCCACATTTCACCTCTATAAATTTTATCAACGAATCTTATTTATCAGATAAAGTCTTGATTTTTTAAATGCCTTAGTATAAATTGACGAACAACTGCTGACGTTTAAAGTATGAACAATGTAAAATATTTCACTTTTGCATATCTTACTTCGACAATCTTTGTGAATCATTCATCATGATAAACTTCCATTTGCTTGCACGAAAATCGCGTGAAGCATGCCTATAAGTATACCAAACTTATTAACATTCCGGCAAGAGTTGTGATTAATCAGAATAATGTTCTCGTAAAATAATGGAATTCAGGGTGTATATATATCACGATACGTACAAACGTGATTGCAATAATATTATTACTGAAAAAGCAAAGTACATATATGTAATATATAATATATGTGATATGTCATATATCATTCATATATGCATAATAAAACCAAAAAAGAATATCAACTCCTCGATAGAACTTTTATTTTCTATTTATGAAGCTAAATCCTTTCTTTGCGCTGCAATCCCGGTGTTGCTAAAATTTATCTTTACATTGTCTATGCATCAAAATTCCAGATAACAATCTTTTTTATTATACCGCTCAAATTCTATTCTACAGAGTATATGTATTCACTTATGAATTACTGTCATGGCATTAAACTCTCAGCTTCATTTCCATATCAAATATCACTTTTCGCGAATCGACTGACTAGTCGTTTGTAAGATTAATAATAATTCCAACATATTTTTTTTTTTCAATAAATACATACATATAATGTAATGTAAACGTATGAAGTGTATGAAATTTTATGAACTTTTCTAATAAAAAACTTTCTGATAGGATATTTCTCTAGAACGTAAACATATCGATAGTTTAAAATTCAAGGAAATAATATCTCAAGATGAAAATATACTTAAATCGTTAAAGATATCTATTTTATTTTTAATCCATTTCTACAAAATAAAATTAGCAATGTTACTTTAGTGAAAATTGAATCTAATTAATCATGAATTAATAAAGTTGTATTAAATATTACCGCTATTTTTCGAGCTAGTAATAAGTTTTCAGTAATGTAATTCACATTTCTAGTTACAATACGTATATAGGTAATACCATCTAGAGTATGTATTTAGCTGAAACTAGCTACAAGAGATAGAAAAAAAAATTAAATTTTTTTTTATTTTAGATTATTTTTTATATCAAAACTTAGGACAACTTTTATTAATTAAATCTTATTTATCACTTTTTTTATTATGTTTCTCCTTTCTTATTTGCCGACTATTTACCACTAGATTTTCCCCAAGGACTTTAAGATAAGCTAAAAGAACTTCCTTCTCATAACCAGACGTTATAATGCCTCTACAGTCTTCTAAATCTAGCACAAAACACAAAATACGTGAGTCAAATAATGTCCTTGATTTTTCACAGAACGAACGTCATTCTAATCGAAAGCATTAACTCCATGTTGAATTCATCGCGGTAACAAATCATCGGCTATCTCGCTTCCACAATCTACATCAAAATATCTCTGTATTTTAGCCGACTTATCCAATATAGAATGGTGCACGTTATACATAACACACACACACACACACACACATACATGATGCACGATACACACATATACATACATACTATATTCATACGAGAGCGCGCGCGTGAAACTTACATAATGCTCTCTCTATTTATCTGCACGAAATTGACCGAAAGCTTGCCTATAGATACGTAGATATACACTTCCCTTGGACTTCAGGCCGATTGTAGTAGCGATTAATCGTTGCAATTGAATCATGTATACGAATTGAAGGGAATAATAATATAGAATAAGGATCGAGATTCTGGAAATTTACTCAAATTAATTTCAATATTGTAGTTTGGATTATTTGGAGAATTTATGGGGCTGCCATGAAAAGTCGAAATTTCTAGTGTAACAGTAGTTTAAAAAGCGACTCTAAAATAATTGCGACATTTCAATCATCACGACATATTTTACACTAATAAGAGCAAAAAGTTTTATAATATTATAAATCTTTATTAATAAGATCATATTATCGGAAATGATGACAATTTAACATTATAGCAGCGATCGGATTTAGTTGCAATTTTTGGCTCGATTTTCATGCTGATCCTTATTGTTATCTATATTGCTTGCATTTTGATATCTTGCCAAAAGGAGTTGATACTTGGCTGATACTTTGGCCTCCAATGGGGCAAATCCAGCCACGCGCACGTATAAAAACATTTCTAACTGTCCGCTGTAATTTTTAAAGGGAGAGCACGGTTGACTAATCACCGATTTTAATTCGCTTACACGTGGTGAATCTACTCGTATATCAAAAATTAGGTGATTCGTGTCCGCATTTTCACGATACGGCTATTTCCGAGCAGAACATTGCGCACCGTATCCATGCTTTTCTATAGCGATCGTAATTATAGAATGTCAAAATAAAATTTGAGCCAACAGATTTACAACTAAATCCTAACTAGTATAAAGTATATTCAAAATAATTATTCATTTAAACATTGAGAAATATTGCGATATTATTCAACTATTATATAAATAAACAATGTTAACAATTCTTATTTTCCGTAATGCATGATTCAATTAGATCGCAGCAATGAATCTTGCTATCTATACCTTTTGGAATTGTTTTGAAGCATGTTCCATTTCGTTATCGAATGGATCTCTTCATCGATCTGCGACGATTAATTGTCACTGTTGTTAAAAGAAGATTTATTTTCGGAGAAGTTTATATTTATCATATTTAGAATTTTTTGAACATACGATGTGAAATTCTTTCTGGATTTTTCTTGTCACAATTTTTTATATCATTCAATTTTCAATGATATCGTTCTTTGAATTTTATGGTTTATTTTAGTAAGTAATCTTCTATAAAAATTAAAAATTATTTGAAAAAATACTCAAATATTACTAAAATTTTGAAACAAAAACAACTTAAATTTTTACGTTATGTATTATATACATCTTTTAGAATTATGGCAATATTGATGATAACTTTATTTTTATTTTATTACACACACACATTTACATGACGTATGGCAACTTTCATTTTGATCCATTACACATTTGCATTGTTGTCTACAATGATGGATAAATATGAAGGAAAATAAAAGTAGATAATAATTTCTCTCTTCAATTTTTCTCACATTCGAATACCTATTATTTCCAAAGAAATGCAAATCTAATTTATATAGCAGTCAATAAACATAATGTTAAATAAATTGTAGATTTCTAGGCAAAAGATATAAAACAGGATGATAACATCAAAATGTTTTATAAAAAATATATAGTCTAAAAATATTTTTTAAGTGTTACGTTGTGTATACTTGCGTATTCTTTATATAGATACATATACATATATATTTTTAAATACAATATATTTTTAAAAATGTCATTTTATATTGTGAGTTATATAAGAATTTATATAAATAAGATATTTTAATTAGATAACAATTTTTTATTGATAACATTAAGAATATTCTATATGGAAAATATATATTGTTAAGAATATTTATAAAAATAATTTAATGTTTAATTATAAATTTTTTTCTGGAAAATATACCCGGGTTGAAAAATCTGTAATCCGATTATAAAAAGAAACGCAAAATATGATTCAAGTACATAATAATCAGCATGCAGTTCGGTAATAAGGATGCTTGTATTCATGCGATCACAGTCATATCAATTGCAATATATACTGGGAGCCAATTGAAATGCCGTGTATTGCGATAACAGTAAATTACGTCAACCGGATCCATTAGCATTAATTATCGACTGTTAAATCGTCTGTCATAATACCTATAATATTCGCGTCGAATAAATGATAATTGTAACGAATATTTTTTCATTCCGCTTTTTCCAGTTCTAACTTTTTCAGCAACACGAATAGTTAATTATAGGATTGCAAACTATTCAACTACAATTAATAGTGTTCTTAATTACTTCTAAAGTCACCGGCAATTATATTTGATGTTTGCTTTTATAATTGAATAGAATTCTAGACATTCTAATTATACATGTATTTACGCATTACTATAGTAATTATTGAATATTTAATGAACTCTAGTAATTCATACAGATCTTGTAATAAAAGATCTGTGTTAAATTTGTCTGCGAAATTTTTTAATTCAAAATCATAAAGTTCAACATCTTATAGAATATTATACCACATTCCAAAATAATTTGAAAATTATTTAATCGATTGTGTTCGATGGAATGCAAATGCAGAGCTGCTGCGACGATATAATTGACTCACGCGCAATGAATCGAGGAAAGAGAGGGAGCATTATTGAGACCGCGGGATTATCATTTACCGTCAGCTGTTGATAGATACGGAAATCCTCTCAGCCGTCGACAGTATTCTGATCGAAGCTGAGTTGTGATGCATCAACGAATACGGGATTCAGATTCACATTTGCGCATCGCTCGAATTTTCCATGTTTCACATAAGCGAATTCGGATACGGTTACGGTTTGCATCTCTGTGACACAAAATCGATAACTGTTGTTCTGATGTGGTATTATTCTGTAATTGGGCATTTATATATATATATTTAAATGATCACAGTAGGAATGAAATTTTAACAAAAAGTATCGAAAGATAATTGACTTTACTTCTTAATGCGGGTGTAGATATGTGAAAGAGCAATTACTTTTGAATTTTTATAGCAAGAATAGCCCGCATCTTACATCCTGTTTGATTTTTAATCTGTAGTAAATTTTGCGGGTAAAACGAATTTAATTCGGATTTTGATCATTCAAAGTATGCAATTTTTTAGCAATTTTTCTTACTAGCATCGATCTAAAAAATGCAGTATAATCTGTTTGCACACACAATCACTTTTAATGAAGCGTATTGTGAAAATTTAATTTATATCTGAATATTAATGAAGCATATTTAATTGAAATTTCGTTTAAATTGAAAACTCATAATAAATTTTTCTATTTTTGTATCCGTTTAGATTAGCAGAACATATTCATCATATTTAATGATTAAAATCAAAATTAAAGCGAATTCATATAATTATATTTTCTTTGATCTTCGCTTTATTGGTTCTTGTTCGTTGAACTGTTCAGTGAATAAGACATACCATGGGTAAGAGACGTCGTCGGTAAAACGGCACTGAATGGTTACGCCTACTGACATACACACAGTACAGCATATTACATCGATTCTATACATGTACCTCGCTGCCATCGACATCGAACCATAAAAATAATGCAGTTGAACGTAGAACGTATTCTTTGCGACGTGTCTCGGCAAACGGAAATAAAACGCGACTGGTTTGATTTATACACAATACCGGGAGACTCAAGCTTATTGTGTGACTCCTTATACGTGATCTATTTCGCCGTTTTTTGAAAAGATCGTCATATATTTGGCACATTTATCACGCATTTAGTTTAAGCAACATATTGTTCATACATAATTTGTACCTAATATGATCCAGAAAAAAAATATAAAAATATATAATTAGCGCGAAATGCTTATCGCGTCTTTTGATTGTCTTTTAAATAAAATGTGTTCCTATATAATTTGCAATAGTTATATAAGAGTTTCCTAAAGGGATTTGTATTTATAGTCTTTTACTTAAGCTCTCTGATATCATGAAACGAGTATTAAATGTACTCGGATATTTTTCATTATTAAGTACAATTAGAATAGAATTTCATTATTTGAAGAGATGCAGACAGTTTAATATGTATAGTTATGTTAATTAGAGATTAAGTACAGACTGAGTCTGTACTTAACTGAAAAGCTAACTGATTATGCACTGGAACCTGACAATTAAAACATTGTATATATGTATAGTTACTCAGTAATATTACATATTATGTATATACATATTGTCTGTATGATACATGTACACAGTATTCATTATACCTAATCCGCACAATTTTAGAACCAGAATAAAATCTGAGGAGAAAGTTATAGACTACTTTACATATTTACATATAAGTATCTATTATATATCTTTTTATATCTTTACTAAAAAAGAAGAGACAATTTCTGTTTTATGAACAAAACTTATTTCCATCATTTATCTTATTACTTTTACTGTTTCAAAACAACATACGCGAGTATTCAAATATGATTACACACATATTAAATAAGAGCCTTAAAATAAAAAGTATATTTCTATAAGTATCCTTCAGTATCTTTAAAAAGCCAGATGTTTTTATAAGCGCGCACATTAAACGGTTAAAACTATTCTTAAATATTAACTTTTATGTGTATTTCTTTAAGCGGATATTGTTAAAGATATAAAAAAATTTTTTAACCAAAGGTTTAAAATTTTAAATAGAGCTTTATAGTTTCAAAGGTTGAAGTATTCGCTACACAAAACACACGATGTGTATGAAATAATTCAAGCATCGTTATGGTAATATATCATCTGTAAATATATTATTTAATAATTTTATGCAATTTTATGCTTTAATTTATACGATTGTTAATGCTTTACTTCTAATCTTAATTTTTACATTAAATAAATGAATCGCACAAAATGTTTCTTCGACACAACGAATTGCTAATCACTGGAATTAATTAATCGCATGAGTAATAATTATTATTTCTTTATAATATATGATTACGTTTTTCTTTCTTTTCTGAAAAACTTTTTTGTTATAATGTTTATCTATACTGGGATAAAATATCACACTATAACCCGGAGAGATAATAACGAAACGATGTACAGAGCGATTCATACCGTTGTGTTTGCTGCTGAGACTCGTATACAAATAACAGCGAAATGACTATTTACACACAACATATATGCTGCGATAAACGTGTGCAGAGTGTCATCTTTGCCACTACGTTACTACGTTATGAGATCTAGGAAGCAAATGTATGTGCTTTTTTCAAGTTTTTTTTACTTCTATGAAGCAAATGTATTCCTTTTTCAAATTTTTTGTTTTTCTCTTCCACTTTAAATCAATTTCGATAAAAGCTTATTTTACCACTAAAAATGAATAGAATCACAAGTCTCAATTAGTTTTAGTTATCTTACGTATATTCTATTCAAAGTAAAACTGAGAGATGCAATTTAAACGAAATTTCATTACGTTTTTAATTGAAATTTCAATCACGCGAATTGTTTTGTGTGAGATAAGTTCTATAATATAAAATCTTTGTCATACGAATGTAAACAAGTAAATGTCAATAGCAATTAATTAGAAAAGCTTATAGAAATTTGATCATTCTTGATTGCATAGGAACCGATTATTAAGCAGCTAATAAGGGAAGCATGAAGAATGAAATGAATTGCTTACATTGTTCGTCACTAAATTACCCCTCCACCTTTAAGAAGCTATTATGCAGAAGCTGTTATACACGAAGGAAAACCGGAGGGTGCAAGACGTGAACAAAGCGCTCGAATGAATCACACAAGAACGATAAATTAACAAACGCGTTTGTATCGGCATTGGAATCGCAAAATCGATGCAAAAGTTTTTTCACAAAGATACATTCAATTTCTTCATTGTACAACCCCTATTCTTTATCATCATCGCTTGATGTTGTATTTTTCACTGGCCTCCTCAAGATTTTCCTGCCTGTCGCTTAAAATTGCTCTCTTTTTCCACCAATGCTTTCTAGAGAACATTTCATTTAATATTAAAACGCCGCAAGAATGATCTTTCGCAATTTCTCCTTATATTTATTTTTCTCGCAGCTACTTTTTTAATGTAGTGGCATCTGTGTTTATCTTGCTTGTACAATCATGCTTGGAAAGTTGATTGAAACTTCTTTAAGGTTTCTCGATTGTTGAACATTATTTTCTGTTATCAAGACAAACTTGTATGAATATATTAACAAATTATTATTGCTTGTGAAATGACGATGGATTCAAAAGAAGCGCAAATAATAACTATCGGAAATTGTAATTAGTTAACGGACTGATTCCCGCGAGTATCAATTTTTTATTAATTATTTGAAAAGAGTTTATTTCTTCTTTTTAAAAAAAAATTGCTTAAATAAATGCTGTTAAAAACAATCTATAGAAGAGATATTTTTTATTAAATTAGAAATGTTAGCTTTAATACAGTTATAGAATTGATTAAATATAATCGAGAGACCTGACGAAGAAATAATATTCCAAATTTGGGAAAAGAAGAAAGAGATAATGATCTAGACGATGTAAATTTTGCAGGGCCCACTTTGGAACCACCATTGCCCAGGCGAAAGAAATGTCCGGAGCTCGCTTACAGGACGCACGAATTTATCACGGCAGCGGATGGCGGTGGTATCGATGCCATCGACTCGAACGTTGTAGCTGATAAAGTACGGGTAAGAAATGTTGATAATACATTAATAACTCTCTATAACTCTTTAAACAACTTATAACAACATCTGTATGTACAATCTGATAAGTACGAAATAAAACAAAAATTCCCCTTTATACGTGAATCATATGTCTAAGATTTCACGTACAATAAGAAAATTCTAGAAGAAGGGTTTCTAGGAGAAGAGGTCAATTGAGTTTGAAATATCGGTCTTCAAATCATAGGAAGTTACAGCAACGTCGGCACTGCCACCAAGTCAGCTTAGCAAGGCGATATCTCGTATCAGTACCGAGTACCGGCTGCAGTTCGCCTGGCCTAGAAGACCGCAGTTGACAAATGGCGAAACTCAGGCGCCTGTTCCAGCTGCGGGGGTTCCCGCAGGTACCACAGGCCCGCCGAGGAAGTCGCTCAGCATGGGTGCGCTTAAACAGGGCATGGTGCCTTCTGGACCTGCGCCAGTACACAAGAAGCGACCCGGCGACTTTGATCACAAACGCGATGGTACTTATTTAATGCCACGACAAATTGTTTTCAGCATTAATTCGAATCCTGAACAAACGTCTTGCGAGTCTCGAGAGAATTCGTCAAATATCACATTTTTAAAAAAAAAAAAAAACTTTTACAAATTGTTAATTTCTTGCTTCTCTTTCTTTTTTCTCTCTTTCAATTATTCAACATTTTTGTTACAGAAAATCCAGCATTATATAAATCGTAAAAAGTGGCAAAGTAATAGATGTGGAATAAAATTTTTCTTATAAAGTTATTTAATTACAATATGTCGCTATTTGAGATAGAGAGAGAGAGAGAGAGAGAGAGAGAGAGAGAGATTTAGGACATTCTCCCCTATATTTATAACAAGAAACTAATTTCATTATAATGCACACTTATATATTAGGTATACAGGGTGAATTTTTTAACCCTGAAACTTTCAAATATCTCGAAAACTAAATCCAGTAGACAAAAATGTTTTAAATAAAAATGGAACGGTATCGAGGGGGACACGTTTTAGTCACGTTGTTTTTTTCCTACGTGGAGGCGCTAAAAAGATATGAAGGTCACCTCCACTTTTTTAAATGGAATTATGTAATTTTTTTTAGATAACGTGATTCCTCTAATTATTTTGCATATAAAAGTATTAAGGTAGAAATACTAAAAAACCAATAGTTTTCGAGATATTTGGGGTATGTTAAGTTAGCACCCCAACTATAGTACTCAGGAGTTCTGATTAGAGTTCCCACTTCCTTTTAATTTTTTTTTTAATATTCGAAAATTTTTTTTACATATCAGGAACTCTAGGCAATCGCAAATTGAAGCTATCGCTCAGAACTATTCCACCTCGAAATTCGATAAAAAGTTAGCACCCCATTTTAAAAAAATGTAAAAAAAATGTTTATTGATAACTCTTGTTATTAACTATAGGGAACTCTTCGTCTCGTCAAAAGGAAGTGGGAACTCTAATCAGAACTCCTGAGTACTATAGTTGGGGTGCTAACTTAACATACCCAGATATTTGAAAGTTTTAGGTTAAAAAATTCACCCTGTATATACACATACACACGCATACAAAAGAATATTCAACGTATTTTTATATATTCCCAGGGGTCCAAGCATCGGAACTGGAACCTTTGGTGGGTGGTATTGGAATGGACATGATCGACGGTGTGGTACCAGAGGGCGATGAACGCGAAGAGGATCTATCGGATTTGAAAGTAGCTTTCAGGTCAGATTGTCAGTCGGATACGTTAGAACGGCTTTTCACGTAAAAAGATTTGATATCCTCATGAAAGAGGAAGCATTTTAAAAGAAACAAAAAGTACAAATAAAGCATCTACGACGATTTTGATCGGTGTGAAGACGCGATGATAACGCGACGCGACGATTACGTGAACATTACACGTAAAATTGATTATTTGCAGGGGTAAAAAGTCAGGTAGAACCGTGCGGATATCGGACAATAAAGTGCCGGAAAAATCAAAGGCGAGACCATTTCCCACGGCGGAAGTGATCGAGCTCCGGCGACTCGCTGACGAGTACAAGGTAATCCGTGGGAGATGTTTTGTCGCTTTAAAATCGGGGTTCTTATTCGATTCTTATTTCAAGCCAGTTTTCCCCATGTCGTATTCGTCTATCTTTATGTGAATCCTTTGTTCGATCTCTTTGTTTTGTGCTTAACTGTTCGATTAATCTGATCGTTAGGGTCATCGAGTTTAACTGTCAGTGTTTGTAAATCGGTGAACGATAATCTACCAATCGTCGAAATTACATGTTTTAATTCCTTCCTTCTACGATGTCATCTATAACAACGAAAGTCCAATCGTTACAAGTCTACTAAATTAAATGTCTGCTTTAAATAACAACATATATTTAATACAAGTAAAATAACTTTCGATCATATCATCTCATAAGATATTTTACAGGTACCGCTTATTTAATTATTTATTTAGTAAGTTGCTTTATTTGCGATTTTTTAATGAAAACTTCTTTTTAAAATTAATTTTAAACCGATTTCCGCGATTTCGAGAGTGCAGTTTCAAATTTTCATCGTTTGATCAAGGTATTTTAGACTCTTCCTAGCATGTTTTGTATGTTCTCTTAGTGTAACATCGATTGTCACCGATTAATTAATTTTGATTAAGCTAAATATTTAGAATGCTATGAACCGAATTTTTAATTACGTAAATTCTAATTTAAAGATGAATTTTTTAAATAAAAATGTCTGATGCAAGTTAAACTCGCTTAATTATGTCGTTCTTTTTCATAATCAAGCGAGTTGAACTTGCAATCAATATATGTTCCAAATAAATAAATTTTCTGTTCTTTCTCAAACGGAATTAAAATTTTTATATATAGTTAAAAAAGAGTACTTAATCTAATGACAGCAGTTTTACTTCTATTTTGATGAAATTTTATTTTCAATTTTATTTGAATAATATAATAAATCTTTTGTTACAAAACTTACAAAATGTGATATACATTGTGATAAAAGTAATATCTATTATAAAAAATTAACATCGAAATCGAAAAGAAATAAATAATTATCATATAGTTTTGAATCTCTCATTTTAATATACAAGTTCAATAAAAATACATTATTAAAAATTGAAAGAAAACAATATATTAAGATAATTCGTTTAAAGGTAGAAAAAGGTGAAAAACTTAATCAAAATTGATGTTGATGGCGACGATGTGACGTTTTTAGTGTTACCCTACTTAGAGAATGTGTCGCCGCGTCACTCAGTTTGATTAGATGTTCACGGAAATAACAATACAGACACACAGACGGATGCTGATACATTTTGCTTTGCGTTAGCATCGTGACTGGGGTTGCGGTCTGGCAGCCGAGGATGAAGCTTCGCTGTGGAAACGGGTCTCCAGTAACCACGCACTCAACGCCCTATCCCTTGCCAGGCCAGTACACTATACTCCATCATTTTCCAACGAGAAACTGGTTTTTATTACTGTTGTTGTTGTCACTGTTGTTGTCACTATCGTTGTTATGTAACAACACTTGTTGGTTTATTGGAGTTGTTCAATAATCACAATTCATTCCTCGCGGTACATTCTTTTACTACATCTATCAATTTATCAACAAAATATTTCGTGGAAATGCATTTAGTTATCGCGTAGTAACTTGCCAGAAAACATTCCTGTCATGAAATATCCACTATTAATTATTTATTTTAAATGTTCGTTCGTTCAACAGAATTTTTACTTTCAAATTACTGGGAAATATTCGATGAACAATAATAAGTTAAACTAAACCGCAATGTAAGTAATACAAGTAAATAAAGTGTCAAATACGATTGAGGCTGAATCTTGTCTGAATCGTGTTCAATAATATTTCTGTGTAATAAATTTTATATACATCTTTCAGTTAAATAAATTGCGTGTCGAATAGTGTCAGACTTGAAAAGCAATCATAAACTGAAGCTGAAATAATATTTCAAATTAAATTAACTGTCAATTTAATAATGATGCCAGTAAGCATTTTAAAATACTACAAAGAATTCCGTCGATCAACTTTATTATGGACTCGTATTTTTTTTTATTTTTGCATGGTTTTTTTTCAAAAACATGAAAAAAGTCATGAGCAAGAAATTTAATATTTGAAATAACGCGAAACATTTTAAGAAATATATGTGTATGAATCCATCACACTGTATCATAAACGCACTTTGAACACACGTGTGTATCGTTTCAAGAAAGTTGCACTCTTAATTCTATCTGCCATTTTGAATGTCGTCATTAAAGAGATAAATCTCTAATAGGGTTGCATTTAAGTCACTCGAAATTCTTACAGTTGATCGATAAACATAAATGCACCAAACACCTGGCTTTAAATTGCATACGTCATCCACACACGTTGTATCCACTGTGCGATCGTAAACGTTTATCACAGATTTGCGTTGTTCACGCAACAAAAAAAAAATAAAATAAAATAAGAGCACTCGTGAGAATTCGAGCGTGCTCGCACCTTCACACGGATTCCGTCGTAGTTAGCTAGTTACACTTTATCGATTCGAACGAATCGATAACCGGCTTGATACGATCGTCATAGAACCTCTTTTTGATCAATTGTTCAGGTCGGTCACCAAAGAGGAGAAAGAAAAGGAAAACACGAGGAAGGTCGCACCGATCGCTACTATGCCACCGGCGGGTCGACCGTCCTCGGTACAAGCTAGACCAATGCATGGCATAATACAGGACGAGCATACTAAGGCAGTACGCAAATATCCTATCGAGTAGTTTACTCTCTTACAGAATCGGTTTCTATTGAACATCGTTGAAGTATCTTAAAGTCGAGAATCGAGATGCAACTAATTTTTTTGTTATTTTAAGACAAGAGAGATTCAAGGTTTATTTTTTCTCTTTATTTATAATTTATGCATAATTTATACACGATCTTAAAACTATTGTTACAACGTTATGTTCACGACTATTATTTTGCAATTCCTATCTTTTATAATTTAACATCTTTTTTTTTAAATGTAGGTCAGTTATATAGATAAATCAATATTGCTATATTGTTTATTAATTGTTTTACATTGAATTGACGGAGGGTATATACAGGATAATAATTAGGAAAGTTGCCGAACTTCAGTTATTTTATATTTTATATATTATGAACAGAACAGAATAAATTTAACTTCAGGAAAACTCCATTATTTTTATTAACATATAATGCAAAGAAATATGCATATATGAGTTTGTGAAAATGAATATTATGAAAAGGCCAATAATTGGATTTGTTACATGATTTAATATTACATTTTTGTTGACATGTTCTTGAAAGAATATTCTTAAATTATTGTTACTTGAATTTGCACAATAATTGAAATGCTTTTAAAAATTATTAAATACTAATAATTACAGCTGGGCTATTAAAGAATTTCAAATAAATTCCTTTCATTGAAATTTACTATTCATAATGAGATTTTTTAAATATTTGTTATTTATAAAGTAGTAAAACTTTTTATTCAAATATATACGCGCGAGGCAAATAACACATCCAATTATATTATATTTCTAATACAATTTTGTTATAGGATACTGATCGAGCCATCGCTCGCGCAAGAAAGGATTTCTTGATCCGCCACCATCTTGATCGTACAACTGGTGTGGGTACGTGATTAATAAATAGGTCAAATTTTAATTAACATAAAAACGGGATAATAATTGCATATTTTTATTGTCTTACCGAAAATAATCTATATCTATACATACATATATCTACAATTTACTTGATTATTATCAACAAACCAATATAATATTATATTTTGCTTTCTTTCTTGTTCCTTTTTTAAAATTGTTCTGAAAAAGATGTCATTCAAGGTGACGGTGCACTGCTTCCCTCTCCAACGAGAGAGAAACTGGAGCCCGTGATACCACGACGACGTGATGATGTTAAGGAGCATCGGGACGAGATTCAACCGCGAACCAAGTCCAGTCCGAAAAATAGTCCGAGAACCGGACGCTCGCAGAGCCTCGGACCGACCGTCACCGATCGCAGATCGCCTAAACGTCAGCCTCCCCGTGCACCGTCTGTTACCAAGGATGCTAAGGTATGTTACTAATTCATAAAGAATACTTAGAATTGAAAAGTATTATTTGTAACACATTATAATTGTCATAGTATATGTATGAAACATATTGCATTCCAATTAAATGTGTTTACGTATTAAAGAAATTTCAAAAGAGGAAGAAACATTGTAATTTAATATTATATTTTAGAAAAAAATAATATTTTTTATATACACGTGCACGCGTGTTGCATATAGTCGAAACTGACATATCAAGGGATTTACTTTCGTTTGTCCAGGAAAAAGAGAAAGAGACAAAAGACAAGGATAAAGAGCACAGGGAGAAGAGTGGCGAGCCCGAAAGACATCCACGACCGAGTAAGTAACGTAAATTGAAAGTTACGTTTTGCGTTAGTTATCGAAAGTATTCTCAATCGATTACCCTAAGGGGATTGTTTCCTGAATCGATTAGAGCTCGTAATCTGTCAGTCGAGTCCCCTTTGCATTTTCGTGCATAAACTGGATTTGGATAGAGTATTTACATACATATCTATATTATATATGACCTTTTGGACTGCTGTCTGCTCTTGTCGGCCTCGAAAGTCAAACGTTCGTCATACATAATTATTATACTTGTACAATTATACTTGTACGCCAGAGATGCTCACCGCTCGGTTTACTTTGTTCGTTCTTTATTGTTCTTTTTACTAAAATGTATTGTAATACAAAGTCTTTTAGTTTAAAATTATCTAGAAATAATAACGTCACACTGTGCTGAGAGATATGTTAAATTATCATATTTAATTTTTTCTCTAAGAATTATACGAAGCGATTATTTTATATGTAGAATTAAAACGGTGATGAATTATATATATATGTGTGTGTGTGTAGGAAGTAAGCAATAAGAGTAAAAGCATAAATGTTTTAAAATAATTTAAGTTTTATTTGTTGAGGCCTTTGGTTATATCTATATTTATGTTAAGAATTCTTTGAAAATATATTCATAAATGCATAAAAGCGTTTGAAATGCGGTGAGCGTCAATTATTATAATTGCGTCGTCATTAATGTTTAGGCAGATGCATGATAGTTCTGTCTATTTGTTTCTATTTCTTTGCCTCTGCCTTTAAAACCCTCATCTAGTAATCGGTAGTTATATCGATAGATACTGTATGAAAATTATTTGTGCGATGTATTATTCGCCTTCGTAGTCCTTTGCGATTAGGCGAGAAAAATCCTGTTTTCAACCTGTGACAAATCATGTTGATACAGTTTCCCACATCGATTCCATATCGTCCACCTCCATTATATCTCATGCTATATTGTTCATAAAATTTATTATCATTTAAGTGTTTGTTAATAATACAAATATGTGTAACATATTTTTTTATTATTTAAACTATTAAATTTTTTTAAAATATTGTTTTTATTTATGTGAAGAATAAGATAGATAATCATACATATTTACTCGAGCATTGTTTTTTAATACATAACGTTAATTATTTTTATTTAATATTTTATGACATTTTTTGACTTATATAGTTACGCTAAATTCTTATTGCAACGTTATAAAGTATAGAAAATAATAAGATTTAAAATAAACTTCGAATAAATTTTGAGATTAAGAGAATACAACAGAAATATATGTATAATTCTAATAAAAAAAAATCTCAAGCAACGCTTAAATTGTAACATTGTGTGTACTACAAACTTTTTAGATACAGCTGTCATCTGATGATTCATTTTCAATGTAATTTAGAATGTTCAATGTAATTTAGAATGTTAACTATTTGAGACATATCATTATGTCGTTAATCAATTATAAATTCATTGTCATCCTTCCATACTCCATTGGTGTAAATTAACGATAAAACTATTAATATACAATATTGACAAATGTGTGCTTAAGAGATTACTGCAGCTTTCGGGGCATTTCAATGATGCAATCACGAAGCCAATGGGTCGTACATCTTCCATCATCATCGATGAGTATAACGATCATCATTATGAATTATCGTATAAATCATATTCACTATCCTCTCATAATGGTAACCCTTTTCCACCCTTCTCTTTCTCCTTCTCATCTTTCTCTTCTCCTCCACGTTTTTCTTTCCTTTTTCTTCCCTATCTTTTTTTTCTCTCTTTTTTTTTTCAGTTTTCATGCATCAGTGACAATCTCGATTATCATATTCACTGTCTCGTCATTATCGTCATCATCGTCTTGATGGTGGTGGTAGTAATGACGATGATTATGACGATACAATTTTGATAATCGTTATCATCGTCGCCATTTCTATAATCATCATTGTTATCAGCGCTATCACCATTATAATTATAATCATTAGCGTTGTCATCATCTACTTTGTCGAGATTGATATTCGTTCCGAATTACCTATCCTCTTCGCGAATCCCAGCTTTTTTCTCACAAGTTCTCGCACGAGAATATACGATCGCAAGAAGACGTGTCGTGTATTAGATTGATCAGGAGTGGCAGCGGGTGTTTCAGCCGCGGCAGGCCCAGGCCAACGTGTCCGTTGGAGCATACGGGAACCCGCGACTACGGTTCCCCCGGCGACTGGCCTGTCGACGCCGCCTATACCGCCATTACCGCCGCCACCCTCGGGCCCAGGGCCTACTCCGCTCCACAAGAGGCCCCCGCAAGTCCCACATCGCAAATGTACGTTTTACTGTACCTGGCCACGTACACCTGCTGTGCCCGCTGTCTCTCACGTCACGTCGGTCTGGCATACTTTCAGAATTACTGCATACCAAAGAGCCCGCTCCCCTACTCTTTCTTCCCTTTTATAATTCATCCTGACTCTTACCTTCTGACTCGATCTCGATGATCTCTGATGCATTTTAGACTTGCTGTAAATTTTTTGCAGACTTCTCTCCGAATGGTCCCCGAAAAATTTTTGCAGAAAATTAGAAATTCGCAAAGCGAATCCTACAATTATTTTTTTTAACTACACTTTCTTTCCCTTTTTTTTTTCGCCGTTGTGCGCGAATCATTTTTGATGCATGATACGATTATTGATCAATCTAGCTAAAAACATCTTGTATGTGCTGAGTGCATATGGTGCACTTCTTCTCTATCGCCAGACATGGATCTCTATGGATTTTTACTTTGTATTTTAACATGGATTTCTGCTTGAAATTTAAATCTTGTTTCAAATACATATGTCTACATTCAAATATTTATCAAATATTGACTCAAGTAATTAACTAAAATACAAAGTACATATGGACAACAGTATAAACTCATGAGAAGATATAAAGTTCAGTTTTCCGCGAAGTCTATATAGTAATGGGTAATTACTATAAAATAAAAAGATAAATTATAAAATGATTTTATTATTGATAGAATTTTAAATTGACTTTTGTTTTGTGAATTACTTTATTAAGAGATAATGAGCTTAACAATAGATTAAATTAATTTAAAAAATAAATTTTTTTACTCATAATTTATCGTTATTCTGATACAATATATATTACAGTTGACGTCGATTGAATTGGAACAATTAATTAGCGCGTGTATTCGAGCAGTATGAAATATCGCGACAAGAACCAACGTCATCTTACAATTAGTCGTTATAGAAGAGATGACATTTTCTGGTTGATACAATTCATCTCCTCAACTGCAATTAGGCTCCTGTATACTCGAGCGAGGGCGAACGATTAATCTATTTTGATGAGTTCAAGATGTACAGGGTAGTGAAAATGTTTCGGGAATTTCAAACTCGAGTTCTTGTCAATTTCGTGAAAAATTTTACTCATCTTCTGAATAATTATGAAGTATAATTTGAATAGCGATGTTTAAAATAGTGATAATCAAATAATTATTAAGAAAACTAGTTTTTTTTTTTGTAGAAAGTTAATATTGAAATATATTGCTAAAAATATATTTTTTTGAACATCTATAAAACGATTAAAATTACACTAAGGTAAAAAAAAGATTTTTTAGGATATTCTTGAGACGATTAAAAAGTTTTCACAAAAAGATCAATCGTTCACTTTTCCTTCGGAGGCTTACCTCCCGCGCCGAGTCTCGCGAGTGCGAAGGAGCGCGCTTTTCCCAATTGATTTCGAAATTCGACTTCCGATGAGAATAATCGCGATTAGACATGCAATGTGCGCGCACAAGATACGGCCCAAAGAACTCTATTTATCAATTGTACTGTTTCTTGTACAATATGTTTTAGCCTTCCTCGCGACCGCCCCTCCCCATCGCCCTCTTCATCACGCCAAACCCACAACCACTACCAACACCACCAACATCACTGTCACTACCGCTAATAATATTAGCGCAAGTACCGCCCCGGTAAAACGTTCCCCGGTAAAGTATTCGGTTCATATGACCGTCCATCACCCACCTACGTCGGGCGCTGCCGCTGCGGCCAGGCCGGAGCGCGGCGTTAAAGATTTAAGCCAAAGGTGCCGTGGTGCGAATGACGAGGCTCAGGCAAAACTGGCCCGCAGGCATCCAGCAGCTGCGGCTGCAGCCGCCGGCGATGATCCATCATCCAAATCATCCCTCGATACGCGATCCGCGTCAAATCGAGCCGCTACTACCGCCGCCCAAGCTAGTAAGTAGCATGTTGTGCCGTGGCTAAAAAGAGAGTCCCGGTTTATAGTCTCTCGCTCTTTTTTTTTTTTTTAACGTTGTCCAGTCATTAGCCAGTGTCTTTGCTTCGTGTGCTCGCTGTTCTGTGTATCTATATTGTTGATGTAACTCTGTGGTTAATGTAAAATATCTTTATTTCTGTTTTTTATGTTCACGAAGTGTCCCATTTGAATCAATCTATTTGAATATCTCGAGAATATAACGAGGATTATCTCTCGAAATCGAGATCTGGTTTTTTCAGGTATAATAGTTTTTCGTAACATCTGATAAGGTGGACACCTGATAAAAAATTTGACTTGAATGTAGAGGCTACTTAATTTAAGCTTTGTTTCTGTCATTTGATCTCCATTAATTTTGGGTACATGGTCATTCAATTTATTATGAAAGGACCACAAACATATGTTTAAAAAATCAAGATTTAATTTCAAAAAATAAAAGTTAATTTTTATTTCACCTCGAAGTTTATTTCACATCTTGACACCTCTACCCACAGGGTCAAATTTTTTAAATTAAAATATATATGTCCCGTAAAATCATACGACCTGAAAAAACCGGGCTTTAGATCTTTTATTTCGCAGATATTCAAATGCGTTGATTAAAATGTCTCTCTCTCTCTCTCTCTCTCTCTCTCTCTCTCTCTCTCTCTCTCTCTCTCTCTCTTTCTCTCTCATTCAATAATCTGTACTTTTTCTTTCTTTTTTTTCTTCCATTTCTCTGTATGTCCTAACCACTGCCTCCATCTATTATCGTGTTGCATGATAAAGTGTCGATTTAACAGAGTTAGTATTTGAATTTCTATGGTTATGTGATTATTTATCCCAATTGTACTCCGGAAAGAGAGTACGATTACACAGAACTATCTTTTTTTTTTGGGTGAAAAGTTAAGATAAGTTTTCAGGTTCCATTCACAGAATAAATTTACTTCTTTTTCTAGTGAATTACAAAAAAGAAAAGTAAAGTCATTTATTTCTCGTTAATTTTGTGTTAAATTTTGCATTATAAATTTGCATTATAAATTTTTGTTAATGCATTATTAAAATCAAAATTTAAAGAGTAATATTAAGATTGGTAATATAAAAATTATATTTCTTTTGGATTGATTTCTTTGAATTATATAATATTGCAATCAAACTGGATAATCGACGCTCTATCGCACGTATTTCCAATTTATTATGTTCCACAATAATTTATTCTGTATACAAATGTATATACGCATTGAAAGTTCTACTTGAATCGATCAAATAAGCAAAGCAAAATAAAAGCATGATAAATCAAATCTATGTAATTGAAAAATGCACATTAATGCATTTGTAGAAGAAAAATGTTTGTTATGTGAATTCTTTAATCTCTTATCAGACATAATTATTTTCCTGCGAAAGGAAATCTCTATGAGATCCTTGAAATCTCTATGAATGTCTTATCTATCAAATAGGAATCTCAATTATGATTAACTAGATATTCTTTAAAATTTTTGAACTACTTTCCATCGTCTTTCTTGTGTCAAAAAGTACAGAAGTTTTGCTGTGAGACATCACAGCAAAACTTCTGTATTTCGAATATTTTAAAAACTATAGACAATATATTAATGACTATGAACATACAATAAACGATTCGATTTTATTACCTTAAATTACCCTCGGATACATATATATTGTTCTTTTTCGCATAGAACAAACTGCACTACATCTACGAATTTTTTTTATGTCAACTATATAGAACGGAATAAAATTTCTTGATAATGGAAAACTGGTATCTAAATGTAAAAGCATATAATAAAATAGGCTACATTTTTAATGGGAGGATTTTTTGTGAGTTTATGCCTTTTGCAGACTCTGTTATTTCCGAACGTATTCGTTCAATTATTTATTTCCTATTCTGGTTACTGTTATTTAATATATGATATGTATTATAGACTGCAATGACTTGTAATCATTAGCTTCCGTAAATTTATTTTAAATCTTTAAAATATCAGCTTGGAGCTTTTGCATACAGCGTCTTTTCGAGAAATCAAGATCATCTTTTTGCTTTTAATAATAAAATAACGGTAATTATAATAGCAGTACAACTAAGTATGGTTAATTTGATATTTTCTCTGGAATGATTGTGAAATTAATAAAAATATAATTAAAGAAATACTTAAAGGAAACTGATAATTTTCAAATCATTTTAACATTGACTTTTTTCAACAACTTATAATACATTCTAATATTTTTAATATTTTGAATTATACAGATTTTTTAAAAACTTCTGAAATAAGAATACATATTTCATGTATTTATTATTAGTAAAATTGAGATCTATTTTTATATTGACATATAAAAGAATAAGAATTCTTCACCAAGAAGAATCTCCATTCTTTACTTTGTTGGAATAATGTAGAATACAATTAGACTCATGAAAGTTATCCCTAAAGTTAAGTCTAGCTATTAAATAAGCGAAGCTAAAAAGTTAAAAAGAAACATAATTTTATAAGAAAATTTATATAAAATGATATAGGAATGTTCTTATGAAAAAACTCTCTCACTCTTTTTTTCTCTTCCTTTTCTCTTTTCATCAGAAATATACTTCTTCGAAGGACAAAGAATAAAACTGTCTGTTTCGTGCGCAAATTATACAGTCTCTTGTTTCTTCCGTGTTGCTGCGAAAAAAAACTCAAGTGATACATAAATAAATAAAGCATGAAGTAGTTCAAGTGCGGAAGATCGAACGATCGTTTCTGCGATTTATCGGGAAAACGATATCAGATATATGTACGTTAAGCCCTTTGTCAACCTGTTGCGCGATATACACGCACCTGCACACTATGGCACATACGTGTGTATATATAAATATATGTAAATATATATTCACATTTTGTGCTTCTCTCTCTTTCTCTCTCTCACACACACTCATCCTCTCTCTTTTCTCTCTTTCCTTCCTTTTGCTCGTCCCTTCTCTCTCTTTCTCTCTTCCCATGTTTGTAGCTGTATGTATTGTTGCGTATCTTTATATTGCATCCTGAGTACGCCAATGTACCTCCTGAGATATACATTATTATTAACATCCTTCGTATATTCTATATTCACGCTCGAGAGAAAGAATCTCGCCTGCACTCGATGCCGGCATTAAAATCTTTTGAGAGATATCGATATGTAAAAATATTTTATATAAAAATATTTTATGAAATCTCTGACATTTCCTACGTATTGATGAGGGGACAAAGATATCTCGTCGCAGCAGCGTAGAATAATCAGCACTTTCAATGTTGAGTATAATATTTATTGTAATGACACTTGTAAAGGATTGCCGATACTGTCTGAGGAAACAATAGTTTAAGTGTTTTTCATTAATCCTTTTGCTGCCTCATCTGCTGGTCCATAATTACTAGACCTGTGATAGTCAATTAATATATCAGTCCAAGTAATTAATTATATATTAAGCTTATAAAATAATGTATATTTATAGCATGTAATATATTATAACTCAGTAAACGAATAAAATGTCTAATAGATTTTTCGATATTTTAATTAAGATATTGTGATTGCGAGATGTCGCAGCGAAAGGTTGATTTCCTCGTCATCCACAATTAATTACGTCGGATTGTGTGTGCCAACGTCTGGCTTTGGACGTACTAAGCCCACATTCGTAACATCATCCAGTTTAATTTCCCACAGCACTCCACAACAACTCGTAAACTCTCGTAACTCTCTCTCTCTTTGGAGAAGTAAATATCCTAAACACGTTGAATTCAGTCCAACAAATACAACTGCAACTTTGCCGCTGCGACGATAATGAGAGATACAAACAAACTGTACAACAAATTGTGACCTTCAGTAGTACGCAAATTCTCAAATTAAACTACAAAGCTTAAACTGAATAGCAACGCGATGATTGCAACTCAAACGTTGTTGATTGCCATATGTCATTTGATAAACAAGTAATTTCTTGATAATCTACTTATTATACATAATAAATAAATTATCAGGAAAAAGGTGAAATGTATTAAGCATATGAATTAATCGCGGTAATTTGACTCATCATCGAGTGCAAGCTTCGGGGAACACGGGGGGGTGGGAACCTAGAACGATTATCTACGTCGACGATAAAGCGTTTCGTTTCAAACGTTCCAGTGACGGCGGAACCCCAAGTAAACGGGGATGTCACCGGCGGGGATTCGAGCGTCGCTTCGACGCCACCGTCGCAAACGACAAAGGCAGTGGGGCCAGCGCCTGTCACCCAAGCAAGTCCCTGGCTAGACGACGAGCCGGTGGTGAAGAGCCCACCGGAGCCAACGAGAGTAAAGTCGCCAGAGCAGATGATCATGCGATCGCCGGAACCAGTAAATTGGACCGTACCCCTCGACACCGGCAAGACTTTCACGGTGACGCAAAATGTCAGGGAAGGTAAGATGGCAAAAGAACCCTTAATGAGATATGATCGAAAAGTTTCAAGATACACAAAATATTCTATGAACGTTTTTATAAAATGCTTTTAATTTCAGAATATTATAATATAGTTAAATCGATATGAATATACATAGAATATTTTATTTAGAAATTTACACCCAGAGGCTTACGAGAATTAAGTCTGTCTTCTTAGCTGAACTTCTTGCATGATTTATTCTTGTAAAAAATAAACAGTACAAAAAGTTAAAAGAACTGTTTAAAAAAAAACTTAAGACTGTAATACAAACGTATAAGTATACAGTATATTACTGTGTACGCATAATTTCTCATAAAACTACGTACAATATTTTACGTATTTTATCTAAAAATAATTTTATTGAATTTTATTATAATTATAATTATAGAACGCTTAAACTGTTTAACAACAACTGTTTAAAATATAAAATTTTTTTCAGCATTAACATGCTTGAGTTTTCTACATAATCATTTTGATGGTACAAGTTATTTTCAGATTTATAGTTAAATTTCAGATAAATATTTTATCAAATATTCTGTATACTCTATATATAAATTTGCGGCGTGTTATGATTTAATATATATAATACCATAGATAATATTATCATGATCGCGATTCTAATTGCTTCTTTATTTCGAAGAACCTCTGACACGTCCGCATAGTGAGGCGAAAACGTGGGCACCGTCCTCAGTACCATCGGCGCCGCAATCAGCACCACCGGAGCTTGCGGCTCAACACAAATCACAACATTCCCAGCACTCCGGCTACAAATCACCCGAGAGCGAAAGCGTTTCGCTTGGTAGTTTTAGCGGCATAAACGGCCACAAGGACTTGGACTCAGAGAGGGACAGTCCATTGCCCACGAACGCGCAGGACACACCTACGAAGGATGAGAAGGTCAGAAACTATATCTTTCGATGTATTCACTCATATGCATGTGCAACATTAACTTTCTTGTAAATATAGTTAGATACGTGATTTCTTTTGAAAATATTAAAATGAAATAATTGAAAATGAATATTTTACAAGCTATTTCATATTTTATTTATTATAAAATATACACTAAAAAATAGAATACGAAATATTCTGAAACTTTTGATTGATTTTTTATGATTTTAGTTTAATAATTTTATAGAACATCTAGAATGGAATCATATAATAAAAAAATTTATTTATTTATTCTAATATAAATAGTAAAATAATTTGTTTATTAAATCTAATATAAATAGTTCTAAAAATATCAACATTCATATTTTGGAAGAAACATATAATTCAAAAAATAAGTTTATCATAAAAATGTTTTATTTGCATATTTTGTATTTTTCTAAAAATGTAATATAATTTACAATTCAAATTAATTTAAATATAATTATTTATACTATTTATACTATTTATGTTAAATACAATACATACATGTAAACGACAATTGTTACGTTCATGGCGACAGAGAGAGTAATTCACGTTTTTTTACATTTAATTTTAGGAGATCACTAATGTTATCGAGGAGACGAAAGAGCGACAGAGTCCAGAGTCGTCAATAAAGTCAGTGACAGGTACAAATCTGAGACGTTTAGAAGACCCGACGTTCGAGATAGAAAGTAAAAGGGAAGGTAGTATACCGGTAACGATCACGACAGCGCCGATGACAACAACATCGTCGACGTCGCCCGCATCACAGAGTTACCGTGTTCTCGAAGCCGATTCGCCAGCTCAAGGCGGTAGCAGCGCTGCGGGTACAGGAAGTAACACCGGAGGTAGCACTGCGGCTGGTTACCACGTTTTGGAAGCACCAGCAGTGGTACCGGGCTCAGCACAACGTTCGGCAGCGACTGACGTCTTAGAGAAGGCGCGAAATCGCTTCGACAAGTTCTGGGGAAAAGGCAACAACGGCGCAGAGAATTAAAAACAGTGTTCTTCAAAACGACGAGAGAAGAAAAAGACGCTTTGACGAAGAATTACGAACAGTAGGATAGGACAGGACAGCCCTTCTGGGAAGAAGGTTATTTGTCCCACTCTGCTGTGTCCTATCGTCGATTGGTCTGTCCATGTGCTTTCATAGCTTTTAGCTGCTCAGAAAAATATATGTTATGCGTGAGAGCGAAAAGGGGAAAAAGAAGCAAGATGATATCCTCGTGAAAGGATTTTTTCGATTAAAAATATCGCTTTGATAATTCAAGATCTTCGGGAATAAAATCTTTCTTTTTTTTGTTTACACCAAAACATACTATAAAAATATTCAAGCTTTTGAGGATTGGAAAAATTTTATCATGTATACTGATTATAAATCGGAATATCTGAAAAAAGAAACAATCATCAATAGAACTGAATAGAAAGATAGAAAGTGCAACGGATAACTGATGAAACTAATCGATATTGTTCCTGAAGGTTAAAATTGCGGTCTATAATCAATTTATTCGTTTAATAAGAACTATTATGTAACAAGCATACGGTCAAAACGATCAATTGACGCTACACATTTCAGATTAAGCAAGATCAGGTTCTAAGGCTTTCATGCAGACTCGAAAAAGAAGCTCGAGTTAAATTACCAATCATTAATAATAAAAGCTTCTTTCCCCTTCAAAAGACAGACTGTAGGACAGCGTCGTGAATTGGAGGTCATCGTATCATTAGTAAAGAAAAAGAAAAATAATTCTAGACAAGGATACGTCAGGGTGAAGGATTGACGTGAGAAGCTTATACGACGACGGTGCGTGCAGGTTGCGCGTCGGTCTTGTTTCACACTTCGAATGATTCGACGGAGATCGTAATAATCTAGCACTGACATGTGCTTGCATATACAAATACATAACAATTACACCTGCAACACACGCGCACATATACAAACATTTACACATGCACATACACGGAAAATATATTCGCGTCTTTTTTTTCATCCTTTGACTGATTAGTGATCTTATTGCGAGGTCTCATTAGATTGTAAAAACAAAATACAATTATATGAGATACATATTGACAAAGATTATATGAGATACATATGAATAAGAAAAATATCTTTGCACGTTCTATTTTGGAATAATTTTTTACGAAGCGTAAAGGTATTCTCTATTGCAAAGTGTTTCTATTAACAGTGTTTTTATTTGTACAATATGAAATAAAACAACGTGTTTTTTTTTTCGTGCAAAATTATACCAACAAAATTGGATTGTGCAAATGCTCTTTTATTCATTGTACACACATTCATTGTAATACGCATACACACAAACACATAGACACATGCTCATTGACATAGAGAGGGTGTCTAGACGAATACATTTACATGAAAAACATTAACGTTATATAGGATATTAAAATGATCCCGTATATGCGGGATCCACGTAGTTAAGTCCGAATTCTTTTTCCATTGATAACACTCGAAGCCAAGTATCAAGCCGACAGGTACAGAAACGGCTTGTCGCTATAAATAAATAAAATCTGAAACGAGTAGCCTTCGAATAACCGCTTCGTGCGTTTTATATAAGTATATATACGGAATATACAATTATTAATACGTATACATGTATGTATACAATTATGGGATATTATCGCACTCGCGGGTTGTAAACAAAATTCGACATCTCGCTGAGGATTTCTCAAATCAAACTATTAAATATTATTATTTATTAATTTTTGCATATTTATTTAAATTCAATATTAATTAAATTTAACATATTTAAAATATGTAAAATATTTATTTATTTTCTTATTTATATTTATATTTTAATACATTTTATTATGTTTATATGTTTATCGTATTTTATTTATAAAACATTCTGAAAATTAAATATATTATTTTTGTCGTTTATTTTTATGCAAAATACTTTATCGAAGTTATATAAGAATTATATATAGATTGAAGGGATATGTGGAATCCTTGGCAAAACCATGAATCAGTATCTTTCGAATAAAGAGAAGATCTCTCTCTCTTAACGCACGTATTGTCGCTACGAAAGAACTTATTCCATCTTTAAACCGCATCTCGATCGTTTCGCATGTGATTTTATAGACAAATTTGTCAACTTCCTCGCTGAAAGGTATGAAGTAAACAATTCTTTTTGATTGCTTTCAAAATATGATTTTAGATACATTTTTACATCGCGCGTATATAAATTTATTTCTAATAATTAAATTCTATTTGAAAGCACACAGCATCGATTAATTATTTAAAAGCTTATAAGGATTGATACTTTTTCGTGATAACAAAGCACGATGCACAGTGATTATATTCCAAGAAAAAAAAAACAGGAAGCTTACTTAAAAAAAAAAAGTAATTTATATAAATTCCTAGAAAGTGTTCGAAATAAAAATGATATTGTGTCATAAACTTAATGGTTGCAAATGATATAAAATCATATAATTATATTCGTCTTATAATATTATATTAAAAATGTTTTAAGAATTGGAAACGATTAATTTCCACTTGATTATTCTCTATATGTATCGCGGTGCAAATGGTCGGGAGATGCGAGTCACAGGCGTAGTTTCAAAAAATTCACGGCCCAATTTAGTCTTCACGTATGAAAGGAAATGAATTGCTGTAGTGAAGCGTGTAGTGTTTTTTCACACAGAGTATAACGTATTAAACATCTTCACGATTGCGATTTAATACGAAGTATCGCTATGTATATGTGATAATGATGATGAGAAAGAAAAAGAAAAATACATAGAGGATAGCGATAATAATGATAACGACGCGATTTGATATTATACTCAAGTTACACTGAAAAAGAAACATCAAATTTATCGAGAATGCGCAAATTTCTAAATCGATAGCAAATCGAAATCACGCATCAAGAGAGGAAAATGACAAAAAAAAAAACGAAGATTGATGGACGCTACCTATCCGCTCTGCATGCTATATATTCCGTCTGATTTCTTACGCAAATATATATTCTTTCATACGTTCCTTTTTGAAGAAAATAATAACGACAGCAAAAAAGGTCTAGACTCGGAGATCGATGACGAGCGAGGTTCGTCGTTCAAACTTGCAATAAATGTCAAAAACATATCTCATTATTAAACCCGTATAACACTAAAAAATAAATAAATAACATAGATTTTTATGAACATAGATTAAACAAAAAATATAGAAATTATTTTGTATTTGTTCAAAATTTTATCGAGAAACCCAAATTATTAATTATAAATTATTAATCATATTTAAGTGTGAAATTTACTGTAGACGTTCCATTTTCATTGTCCACAATCGGATGAATGAACCAAGAAATATTCGGAGAACACTCGCTCGTCCTCGTTCGAAAACGCCGCGAGACAGAAAGAAGATATAATGTTGGAGCTTTTCTCTGTCTCTTTCACGCGCGTGCATATGGTATACACCACACTCCATCCAGATCCACGTCCAAAAGCCAATCAACCGTAGTGAAGCAACATATATGTAACGATAATAATGCTAATGATAATGATACTAAATATTACACACAAGAACTAAGTATATGAGAGGAACGACGAAAGTGAAAGCGAACAACTTGACGAGAAATTTGACAGATAAGACAAGGATTCGGGCTAGATTCAACACGAAAGAAAAAACGAGAATTGTTATCTCGACTTACTGTTGCTCGGTCCTAAACGTGATTTTGACATAACGATTTCGAACGTAAGAATTATCTTTGACTTGATCGTAGGGAAAAGATAAACAAATTTCATCCAACGCGCATCTAAAGATTTATAGCTTTTGTGGAAGCTTCAAGTTAATCAGTGATTCCTAGATTTTATATTGCAAATTTAAAGAAATAACGATCTATTTCAATGTACTTTAATTTCCTTACGTTTATTTTATTGTTTATTACAAAAAATAACAATTAGGTTATATTTTATTTATATGAAGAAAAATGTATTGTGTTGAAATCTTTCTTTTGTAATTAAAATTTTTTTTTATATGTAGAATATCTACAAATAATTACAATACTTTTATTGCTTTTAATATTTATCTTATTTCTTACAATAACTTCTTAGATGTTTGAAACATACAGAGAAAAATCTGAGGACCACTGAAACATATTACATCTGCATGAATCGCACAGTAGCGCTTCCCGCTGAAAGTCCATTGCGTAAAAAGGCCTAATTTTTCATCCAGAGAATAATCTTTTACTTAACATATAGGAATGCGATGGATTGTTGAGACATTTTATTGAGTGACAAAATGTGATCCTTTTTGTACCTTCGCCTTTCGGCTTTCGATGTCGCGTTTGTAACGCAATTAAGTATTCTTATTCAACGTTGAAAGAATTGTTAGCGAAATATTAAATTGATAAAAAAAAAAAACAAAAAAAAAGCATGACACCTAGAATAAGTCGCGCGATTCCGATTCGTGAAACTCCAGATAATTACTCCTACTATGGTGCATATTATATATAAACAAAATGTCGCGATGACCTTTTTTCGAAATTGCATCATGAAGTGGACGACGTCTGAAGTATATTAAAAAAAGTTTTAAAAATTAAGACAAATCTCAGATGTCATGTTTTTCAGATGTGCTTTTAAATTAAAAAATTTCTCTGCTAGGAGTTATCATCATCACCAACTGTTACATCACAGACACAGAACGCTTTGCAGTATCATTCGAGTGATTATAAGGACTGACTGCGGCCCCAAATTCGTTTGCCGATACAATTCCAATGCAATTATTGTCCTTTATCGCGAGTACCTACTTGACATTCAGTCTAGTATCCGAGTTAAACACGTAGCGTTCGCTCTGCTCACACCGATCTGTTCAACAAGAAATTTTAATTCAGAGACAAAAAGTTCTCTTATCACTACAAATTTCTACTAAATATTAATAAATTTATTATCACAAAAATATTGAAAATAAATGTTTCTATTACACTATATTATTATATTTTATTTTGTTTCACTTTATTTAAGATTTCTCTTTCTCGTAAGCTGGCTTATAAAGCCATCGTGATCTTAAATGTATATAATAGCGGTATTTAATTTAAAACGAGACACAGATGTTTCTTTTTTTTCGCAGTCAGGTCCGAGCGATTCGACATAAGCAACGCTATTGAGGTGAAACTGTGTATATATGACTTGTAACTGACTTTTCTTTCAAACATGTTGAAGAAGTATCTCGCAAGCTCACACTGCCCGTCCGAGTACAGAAGCAGACCTGTCCTGTGATTTTCAGAACGTCACGCCGCATGAATTAGATTGCGATTCGATCCGTGAGAAACGACGTTTCCCACTTGTCCAAAACGACCAAAAGTGAAAGCAAATATTACATCCATCTAACGACTTCATCGTCAACATCTCCATTAATATCTTTTCCTTCGTATCGATTCGATAAATTTATTTATAAGCACTTCTTAAAATATCAAACTGTGAAATATCGTTTTTTTTTTTTTAGATTTGCGAGCGATAAGATACCTAATTCTGAAATTCTGGTGTCTGAAAGTTGCCATCGGAGCGTGTTGCTGTTCATGCGCTCATTAGTTAGCTAATTATATACGCTGTGGATGTATATTATCGTTTCCAAAGATACGCTTTTTGCTCTTTTTCATATTCTAGTCTGAGCACACTTGATTATTGTGATGAAAATATATATAAGGAAAGCTGTGAAAAGGCTGTCCAAGCGGAATGTACGTAGTTCCTTAAAATATTCTATGTTTTTGCCACTCGTTTTCGTTGACAAAAGCAGGAAGATAATCGTTACTGAAGACATGAATTCTTGTCGATTAGCAAGACAGCTTTTCATCGCGACAAATTAGAGTGCTGGATAACGCTAATTGTGTGTATGCTGTCTTTTAATTACACGAAAGTGTTAGGAAGGAGTTTCAAAAGAAGATGAGACATTTCGATGAATCTAATCGAACATCATTTCTGAAAAAAAAATCGATTTTGCTAATATAAATGTTACAGATATTGAAATGACATGTCGTAGAATTACACGAAGAGAGAAACCTGAAATCAAGAAACTTGAAGAACGCAAATGTAAATATATTTCAAATATATAACCAAGTAACATCATTTCAATAACTCCGTTATATAATTAATTTTCGGAGAACTTAATATGTCTTTTGGACATTGCCGAGTGTATGATCGCCAAATTGTCACCTAATTTTCTGCCTCGCCCATAAATACGATAAGTAATAATTACCTATTTTATAATGCAACGAAAAGGAAATTAAGAAACGTGATCACAAAAGAAATATTGTAACAATTAGATAACTGCAAATAATTCTTAATTAATTTTCTAGTGAGAATATCATCGATGACTCGAGCATGGTGTATATGTCCATGGTGGATATTTACATCATGGACTCGAGATTGTTACATGCCTTTATATTGAGAGATTTTATCTTAAACTGTTTCATTAAGAACGATTTATACACGAATAATACGATATATCAGTTGAATCATTAGTAAACATTAGTGAATAAACCATTAATTAGCTTTTACTTAATTCGTCTTATTACAACGTGTAAATTATTTTAATCAAATACTTATTACTTTAATTGTACACAATTCAACAAATCTAATGAAAGTGAAAAGCGCTTAAAAGCTTATTATTACAAAATTTAGTTATACCAGCTATCCCTATTATAAAAAAAACTATCGATCAAAATATCCCTCTTATTTTATATACAATTTTGAGGATTCTTCCGAATGATATTTTCGCATTACACTCTTCAGTATCAAAGTGCAAAGTATAGATATATCAAAATTATAATTCATAACAATCTTACAGTTCAATTTCATTAATATAACAATTTTATTAATTCTTTTTTTTTATATTTGTTTGCACAGTCTGATTGTATATGAAACATACACGTATAGGTACATACATACATACATATATATACATATCGTATGTTAAATGTTATATTTTGTAATGTAACTTATTTGTGAAGAATTTTTATTACCGTACATGTAGTTTAATCGGCTCAATTAGTATCGATCTGATACCGTTATTGATCTATACATTGTTTAAATATCCAAGAAATGTAAAATGTATTATTTTTTGCACGTATAATTCTGCATGAAAGATATACGGCTCGTTATATAGATAATTACGTTCGAATCATTTGCGATAACTCCCAAGTGCTTTATTAGACCTTGCAACTTAAAACGACCTGACTCGGTCGAAGAGTTCTGAACTTTTGATAGAAAAAGTCGTAACAAACGAAATTATTTTTGCGATTTACTGCCATCGCACTCTTGAATTTACATCACATCCCGTTTAATGATAGAGAAATTTCGCGCAATTTCTTCCCCCATTTATCAGAGTTATTCATATTGCAAAGGATTCGAATCTCTCAATAATTCGAAGATATCTTCTGATATATGACGGACTCGCTCTTAAGAAAACGACGAATGACCCAATGATTGAAAGTTTTTCGAGAGCCCGGAACTTTTTCTCTCAGCGATTTAACTTTCGTTTCGTCCTTATAATACACGGATTTTTGAAGTGCATAATTCGTAAACGGCAATTGATTCGGGAAAAATAAAGAAAAAAAAATACCTATATAAACGGGATATAAAATCACTGAAACTTAACGTATGCATAACGAGCATTATAAACGCTGTGCTATTTTTGCGTATTCTACTACACCATTCTCCTCTATCTTTTTACCCTTTCCTCCCCTTTTTCCATCTCCCCAGTCACTCATTCCGAGAAATATTGCGTTTGTACTATCCGATGGCATTATAGAAAAGGGTCATTTATTACAATTGCAGATTATTATGGCTATATATATTATATAAATATATTATATATTAGAAATTGTGAAATACTCGTAATAAAAAAACACGCCAACGCTTCCTGTGATTTCTAGACTATTTTAATCGTCACATGCTGCGTGCTCCCTATTTCGAGTTATACTTATATACATCACGATGAATCCTGTCCTTCCCATTTTACTAACGAAAATATAGCGAAAAAAAGCTACGTAATAAACGTGTTTGTGTCCCATTGTTAATTTGAAATTTAAAATCGTAACCATGTTAACGATGGAGAATCTGTTCCAGTATCGAGACATCGAGTGTCTTACTAATCGATGCGATTAACTCGCGATCTGTAAATTCGGATTAATATACGCGATTTTTCGTACGTGAGAGCCACAAAAATAAAGCCTATAAGTAATCTGAAACATTTAATTCTTCTGGCATTAAGCTCTAATTACAATTCATAGTTCATTCATCATTCTCTGTGAAGTCATCACTATATAATTCATCTTTAATAATAGCTTTCACATAATTTATGACGTTCGTATATAATTTCTGAATTTTTTTCGCTACCACTCTATCATACCGATTATTTGAACAAGTGGAGACTTTTAATCTAATGGAGAGGATGATTTACTACAGATTTGAAAACATATGTCTGCGGAATCATAAGAAAATGCAGATATATATATAAAAAAATAATGTTTATTTGAAATACACACATAAGTTTTTATCCATCATAGAATTGATCATCATTATTTTCATCTTCACTATAGTAATTCTCACCATTTTCAAAGTATTCAAGTGTGTAATCAGTCCCATCATCCATCTCATCTTCTTCTTCCTCCTTTATACGATCTCCTATTTCCTTTTCTTCATCATTCATTTCTTCATCCTCTTCCTCTTCAGCTTCGTCTTCTGCAGATTGTTGCATATTTTCTTTTTCCTCCAATTCCGTTAACTTTTTCACAATATCCACGTCGGTTTTCTGCTCATCTTCTCTCTGCTGCCGGGGTTTTCGTTTTCTTGATGCTCTTAATTCATTTGGCAGAAAATCCCAATCATAATGCTTCTCATATGCAAATTCATCATTTTCTTCTTCATCAAAAGCATCACTATATCGTTCAATATCTTCATTTTTAACTTTAGGAGCTTTCACATAATAAGGCGACGCTCGCAACCAGTCTATGAAAGCTGTTTGCTTTTCTACTAGATAATTCAGTTCGTCGGTTAGTTGAAGAGGTGGAGGCTTGTGTTCTAATGGAGGGTAATGTACAGATGGCTGCGAAACTGGCGTTGACAGTGAACTCTCTCCTTTAGAGATGCCCAACATCTGCTCCATCGAAAAGGACACATTAGACTTTCCTCTACCACGGCCTGCCATTTTGTCCTCGTTATTACTTTGTTCCCTGATAACATATTAATTGCAAAAGCAATATTTTAACCAAATATTCAGATATTAAAGTTGAGAATCATGCAAGATTTCTAAAAAAAATTATATAATGCAAATTAAGCTCCATACAACTTATATATATTTAGTGACCAGATAAATTCAAACTTATCATTTGACAAACAAACTTATAATTTGACTCAAAATCAAAATTTCTTTTTACAATAAGAATAAAGTAATAAAAAATAGTAATTGTATAAAATAGATCCAGTAGCTCAAAAATCAATAAAATTAGATTTATTCGATGCGTTTTTTGCATGAAACGAAAGAATCTGGTAGAAATAAGCGTCGCTCTGCCCCACGAACCGAGATATTAAACATTAAACATGCATGTGCATGAGGTTACAAAGCATGAAGGAGGCATGCTCATTCACATGTAGTCGGGTAGGACAGATTTCCTAACCTCCATAGTCAACTTTAAGCTAAACATTTCAATCCGCGGGGCAGAGCGAAGCTTATTTCTACTAGATTCTTTCATGTCATGCAAAAACGCGTCGAATAAACCTAATTTCATTGATTTTTAAGCTGCGGGATCTATTTTGTATAATTACCATAAAAATGATTAAAAGTTAAATAAAATTACAATATATCATATTAGAAAATTAGTAAAATTTAACCACAATCTTAAATTACTTTATTACTGCTACCTTACTAAAGTTCATATTACTAAAATTAATGTTACAATATGAAAAAAAAGTGAAGATCGTATTTAAAAAAATCACTCTATTAATTAATGAGTACAAAGAAATCAAAGATAGCAGGAGAAGAACACAAAAAACATATAAGGACATAAAAAAATAAAACTCATCTATAGAACTATTCTGTTTTTATAGCCATTATGGTTATAACATCTACCTTTTTATCATGATAAAAGCAACGCTGTTATAACAATAACAAAATTTGCATTACAAGTTACAGAATAACAATACTAGACAGTCATCTTTATCTTTAGGATTATCACATTATCTTAATGATTCTTAAAGCAATCATAATTTCATCCATGTCTCAAAATTTTTTTGTTCATTTTAACGTAATATTATACTTAGCATCGAGATACGTACTCCAGATTTTTCTAGTACAATTCTAACCTATTTGTCTCAAAAAATTTTCGAGATAACTTTATTTACCTTATACTTGTTGAGTTGCTATTTCTTTTTTGTTGTTCTTCTTTTCAAATTCTTCTTGTTTAATGCGATAGACTTCCTTGTCATAAATCACCTTGATCACAAGAGAGCACGAGGGACACGTAACTTCTTCTTCGCCGGCAGCCAAGTCGGAAAGAGTGATTTGGAATTGATCACCACATGGACAGGGATAGAAATAAATTTCCTCGTCTTCGTCGTACTCGAAATCCTCGATTTCGACTTCATCATAATAGTCTAATCGTGGCATCTCTCATTAACCTCCTATAAGAAATAAACTTGAATAAACTAAGATCTCCCCATCGAGCTGTGTGGCTCCGCGGCAAGACGCAAGACGGTGGCTTGCTAAAAGCCCATTCTAAAATCGCGTAAACGTAGTTGTAAGTGGCGTAGTTGTAAGAATTGACTAATCACAGTCGAACATTTTTTCGTATTTGACTGTGATTGGTTAATTCATACAACACAACTTATATCCAACTACACCATGTATTTTTTATTTAAATTTGATTGGCTGATCTGAAAGAATATACCAATAGCAGCGAGCGCCACTAAATTATTTAGCTTGCTGAATGCAGCCATCAACATCATAATCGCATTTAGCGCGCGGCTAAATCAGCTGATCGTAGCTGATTTGCGACCCCTCGAAGGTTATCCTGTGTTGTGTATTTTTTGCTCCAATAAAAAAGAGCCGGCTTTAATCGAAAAGAACTCAAGGACCACTGAAGGACATCAAGCTGAATTTGACAAGGAGAATGAATTGTTGATTGTTCAGGTGTTATATATGAAATATTTTAATTATTTTAGTGAAATGTAACGTAGAATGCATATAATTGTAGATAATAAAATGAATTCTCAACAAAATATGTATTGACAATACTGAGAATCTGAAGCATATGTAACTTTAGATTTGTAGTACTGTAGTAAATTTTGAAATATATCTAAGTATACATAAGGACTTGTTTGCAGGTGTATTAAACTAAAAATAGCTTGTACACATATTTTGAATAAAATGGCTACTTCGGTGACAGCATCATCGAGTACTGTGAATGCTGCGAAGAGGTTTGTGAAATTTGTATTGAAAGAAATGATTGATGCAAAGGATTCTTAATTTTCCTTATATTACAGAATTACACAGATCAGAAATATACGGCAAGGCAGCGTGATAGATATTGACGCTGAAATGTTTCTCAAGATATCTAATTACGAGGACACGGTCAAACAATTGGACATATATTATGGAATCGTTAAGAGACAATTGCTGCGCTATCAGAGCTGCATAACCGGCTTGTTTCCACAGATTTCGAGCGATCGGAAGGTTGGCAGTGTACGTGAAAGTATATATTGCGCAGCTGCCATATGGAGTCTGTATCAAGCATATAGACGTATAGATGACGATCGTGGAAAGTCGTATGAACTAGGACAATCCACGATAAAGTGCATGCGTGGTATCTTGGAGTGTTGGATAAAGCAATCATCCAGAATAGAGCTTTTTAAGAAAAACCAATGCGACCGTTATGCTTTACACTGCAAGTTCCATTTGGACACTGGCGATGAAATCTATAAAGATGTTGATTATCATCATTTACAAGTAAGCAATAGTAATATTACATATTTCTCTGTGAGACATTAATAATTTCAACGATACAGGAAATATTTATAATAATTTACATTCATTATTATAAAGTAGGGCATTGCAATTAGAATGTTTGGTATAGTGTTTTCAGTATTGTTAGATAATAATTGATCTTTTTAATTATTACAAGTATTTATTATTTTCAATGTAGATAGACATCGTATCTCTTTACTTAATATTCTTAGTGCAAATGATTTCCTCTGGGTTACAAATTATATATACACAAGACGAAGTGGCCTTTGTGCAAAATTTGGTATATTACGTCGAAAGAGCGTACCGTACACCAGATTATGGTATGTGGGAACGTGGAAGTCGATATAACGATGGAACACCTGAGATTCATGCCAGCTCCATTGGGATTGCCAAGAGCGCATTAGAGGCAATTAATGGCTGTAATTTGTTTGGTGAAAAAGGTGCATCTTGGTCAGTGATATATGTTGATATTGATGCTCACAATCGCAATCGTAGTATTTTTGAAACAATGCTTCCAAGAGAATCCAGTTCAAAAGTAAGCAATCTCAATTGTATAAATACAAAAGTGTAAAATATTTAAACCGATTTTGAGGAAAGATATGTAATTTGTAGAGTGTAGACGCAGCCCTACTGCCAACAATATCCTTTCCTGCCTTTGCAACTCACGAAGAAGTGTTGTACAACGAAACAAAAGCGAGCATAGTCCGTAGGCTAAAAGGCAATTATGGTTTTAAACGTTATGGAAGAGATGGTTATAAAACTGTATTGGAGGACAAACAGCGACGATATTACAAATCTGGAGAGATCAAGGTTCTAAAAAATTTATAAAATATTAATTTTATAAAATATTCATAAATAAGAAAAACTACAAATTTTAATAGAGTAATTGATGATCTGTTGTAATAGGATTTCGACAATATCGAATGCGAATGGCCATTGTTTTACATTTTCATGATAATAGATGGTGTATTCAAGAGTTTATCGGAACAAGTCGAAGAATATCAAAATTTATTGAAAGCAAGAGTGCAAAGGGATTTTAATGGAGGTTCTTGATGAATAATATCTCTAGTTTTATTCAAATAATGCCTACAACTCAAACAAATAAATTTATAATATCTTTTGATTGTATAATTAGCAGTCGCACTAAATAAAATTTATTTTGCATGTTATAGATCCAATCATTCCTATGTGCTATTATGTACCCGTGGAAAATTTGGAAACTGAAAGGAATGAGCTGTGCAGCGCTTATCGGCTACCCAGTGATGAAGGAAGAGGCCCTAAATGTATGGAAGACATTACGCCGATATATTTATGGAATCAAGCTATGTTCGTAATTGCGCAACTACTCACCGCTGGTCTTCTGCACATCAACGAATTAGATCCGATTCGTCGGTATCTTCCATCGTATAATCGTCCGAGACGAGCAGGAAGATATTCTGCTTTCCAGGTAAAAGAGAAATATATATATATATATATTTCAAATATATATTTTAAGTTATATAATTTAAATAAATACATGTATTAATCTATTACTTTGTTTGATTTGAGTAATCGTATCAAATCCCAAAAGAATAGAAATTTATCTGTTTATTTCACTACGACTTTGCTCTAAAATTAAGTGACACATTCTTTTAACTTTTTAATATAAATTGTGTGTACTGACTCACAATAATTTAGAGAAATATTTAATTGCTTCAAATTTAATTAATTTTGTAACTCATAATTAAAAATTAATAACTTTTTTATATTTTCTTTCTTTATTTACACAGGCAAAGCCTACTATTGTAAGTAATATAAAGTATATGCCTGCTAGTATGATAGTACTATGTAATAATATGCATTTATTTTTTGTCTTTTAATGATTTTATTTATGAAGTTATACAATATATTATAATCATAGCATGTGATATTATAAAAAATCTAACACGTGTTTGTTGTTTGCACAATCTGTCATTTATTTTACAGACTCCTCAAGCTTGTCACGAATTTACACAATTATAGTATACACTAGTTAAAATATCAAAGTAGCTGCTATTTTTTTTTTATGACTTTTTATTATATGACTAAATATCCTCATGTTGCATGTAATTTATGAGCACTGTTATTATACCAGGGCACTCATACCGACCTAGTAGTACAAATAGTTCTGATCGCAGAATCTATGCGATTGCAAGCTATGATGGCCACATATGGCATTCAGACACAAACGCCGCACGAAGTCGAGCCCGTTCAGATTCTATCGTCCACTCAGCTAGTGAAGGTTTACCAAAAGCTAGGAGTAAATAAGAAATTGAATCTTCAGGGACGACCAGCGCGGCCTATAGGCTCTTTAGGTACGAGCAAAGTATGTATAATTTTATTTTTTTTCTTTGAAAAAAAAAGAAAGCTTGTGCATGTATACAATGATACATTTATTATACAATATAATACATAAGATAATAAGACAGACGAATTCTTTCTCATGTATAGGTGTATAGAGTGTGTGGTATGACAGTACTGTGTTACCCTTTGATCTTTGAGGTCTCTGAGTTTTATTTGTACAGAGACATGGCTCTACTGATCGATGATATCAAAACGGAATTGCAATTTGTGGGCAAGTACTGGCGTCTTTCTGGTCGACCCACTGTGTGTCTTTTGATACGAGAAGAGCACATGCGGTAAGTTTGCAATTTTACGAATAGGTTGCAAGAATTAATTTATCTTGACAAAAATTTGTTTAGAGATCCACAATTTAAAAAAATGTTAGACCTCTTCGCGATGTTGAAGAAAGGTTATTGTGATAAGACGAAAGTACGCATCGGCCGGTTACAAAATTTGATTTCATCTTCTTGCATCGGTAATATTTCATATAAGATTAATATCCGCATAAATCGAATATAGTGTATGAGAAACTAATTCAATTTTAATATTAACATTTTTTGATAATATTAAAATGTAATAAGTGTTTCATATAATTAATAATAATTAATAATAATATTTATCTTTTGATTCATAAAAAAAAGATAAAGAATTGATATTCATGGAATCACTTCTTCTAAGATTGAGCTACTCTTTCATGCACCTATTATATTATACATGATGTTCACAGTAACATTCATGTTAATTATACACAGAGCACTTGGACTTCGTAAATTCTATGGAAACAGATCTGGACTTGACACAGTTTAAACAATTGCAGCACGATTATATTGGCTATCAGAGTCTTACGGATGTTCCAAAGGCCATAGCTTATTCTGAAAGTGTTAAAGACTATTCTGTATGAAATCATATTAAAGGTTTAAATTTTAATTGATTGAAAACAATTGGTAACTGATATTGTATGTTTCTAGTATATGTTAGATGAATCTCTTGGCAACATATTAAACGAACTTCGCAATAGCATTGGCTTGTACGCTAAATGCCAATTGTACGGTATTTTAATAAAACGAGAAGGAATTAATTACGAAATCAATGGAGTGACAGGTATTTGTATTTTTCTTTCCTTATTTGTAGACTTGACCTTTCATAATTTTGGATGTATATCCAACAGTATATTTTTTCATTTTTCAGTTCGTGACAATTTAAGATCATTATATCAACAAGCTGGATCCTTAAGATTCTGGATGGCCGTACGTTATTGCAGTAGTCTATTACATCACACAGTAGACAGCATCAGTCCTTTTATCACGGGTGTACTAGTCAAAGGAAAACAGGTATTAAAATAAATATAGACTCTAAATTTACATTTTAATTCTATACTATTAACGGTTAGATTGCGGTTGGAGTGATTGGACAGAAAGAAACAGTGTTCGACAAACCTATGACGCCGACGGAAATACAATCAGTAATGTATTCTACAATACAACCGCACAATGTGGTACAGGCTGTGCTCCAACAAGAGATTCTGTTGTATTGCGGTAGACTTATTGGCACTAACCCAGAGATGTTCAAAGGCATATTAAAAATACGCATCGGGTAGAATATTGTTTCCAACAATACTTTTTAATTGTTACTATACGAAAATACTTAATCAATATTCAAATGTTTAGGTGGGTTTTGGAAGCGATGAAACTTTACTTGCAGATGTTTGTGAAAGATAACAAGCCGATTGAAAATTATAGTCCTTATGAAGTCCGACAATTTCTTATTAAAGTATTGACAGTAAAAGAGTGGGCTCATGAAGAAAAGTATAATGATTAATAAAATTAGCCATTATTAATATTCAATGTTGATTAATATATCTATCTATTACCAATAGCTTGACAGTGCTTGGTCGTCGAAAAATTGAAGGTTGCTTGTGTAGAGTGCCAGCACACTTCTACAATCAAGTATGGGAAGTCCTAATGCGCTGTCCTGGTGGTATCGTAGTAAATGGACGGGAACTTCCTCAACAAACCACATTGTCCAGCATGACTCGCTCTGAACTTACATTTGCCCTACTCGTAGAATCCTTGTTGCATCACATACAATTACCAGAATATCGCCAGATCATAGTTGAAGTAAATAATCAATTTTTGTATCTTTTTGCTTTTTTCTACTTATATATATATATATATATATATATATATATATATATAAA